CAGCAACGTAATGTTGTAACAGTAGCCGCACGTTTTACAAACTTTTAACATCTGGGGCATTATAATTACAGTTTTCAGAAGTGTCAGATATCAATTACGAAACATTGCTAATAAACTTACACCCATATTCTTAGTCATTTCCTCGAGATTTTCTCCACTCGACTCAACCTCATTTGAGGAAATTCGTATGCTTAGACAACAAAAATATCCTTCACTTAAGATATTCCTTACTCGAGTGGAGGTCGAGTCGAGGAATAAACTGTCAAACTCAAGGTAGCTCTCGACGTACCTTAAGGCTTCCTCGAGTGATGTTTAAATAAATAAATAAATATTTCCGACACTCACACCAATTAGCCCAGCCCCAAAGTAAGCACTATAAGGCTTGTGTTATGGGATGCTAGGGTAACGGATAGAATACATATACTGTACATATATAAGTATATTTATATAAATACATATTAAACATCCATGACTGGAGTACAAATGCACGTATTCATCACACAAACATCTGCCCCCACCGGGATTCGAACCCGGGACCTCTCGAGTCGGCGACAGCCATGAAACCCGGCGTACAAACCACTCGGCCACGGAGGTCGTCACGTTTAACGTGTTTTCAAGATGTTTTTATCGAGAATTGTGACGAATTTGTGGATTTTATAGATTACGTATACGATTTTTTTATTTATTTATTCAGTAACACATACACGATGATGAACTATATAATTATCCGGCGCGACGGTATTTAAATCCTTTTAAGGTTTACAACAATGATTCGTTTCAAAGAAGATTTCTGTTTAGAAAATATACAGTCATACAAATAATATTTCCTCTGCTAAGCATTATAGGAATAAAATCTTCCAAATGATGACGTCACAATGTTGAGGAATTCTCAAGTTTGTTCAAGATACCAACTAGAATACCATTTTCGAGGTTATTTGGAGGAACTCCTTAAGGAGCCCTCGAATGAGTTTGAGTCGAGGAACGTTTGAGGACGCGATTAAGAATATGGGTGTTAATGTTAAACTCGCTTTGTTTGGCTGGTGCTGTATTAGAAATGAATTATGCAATCCTGTTTTATTCGCCGTTCTCTGTTGTTCCGTTCTGTAATTTCTCGGAAGTCTCAGTAAACTTCATAAATTGAGAGGATTGTTACATCATTTTACGTCTCACACGGACGTATACAGAGACGTCAAATAAAAAAAAATGTTATTATACAACTTTCGCAGTGGTCGGTCATTGGATGGGTGACCAAAAATTTCTATCTCGAGTTCCTCCGTGCTTCGGAAGGCACGCTAAGCCTTTGGTCCCGGTTGCATCTGCAGTCGTTAGCACCCGCCAATTCGCACTGGGCCCGCGTGGTGGGTCATGGCCCAATCTCCCTATTCCATCCATAGGGAAGGCCATTAGACAAAAAGCCATCCATAGCTGATACAAGTGAATGATTAATTAGAATAATATAAGGCGATACAATTATGTGAAAAATAGTCAATAAATAAGAAGCAAAACTACATTTTTTATTTTATTCATGATTCCTACCTAACCAAGTTTTTCCTAATAGTCATTCTTTAAAATCGCACCGAATAAGATGAATTAGTTGTAATATCAATTCACTTTAAACTGAGTTCATACTAAATTCATAGGTTGACCTATGTTTCATTGAATATTAAACATAACCTCAAAAAAATTTTAGTTTTCCCAATAATTTAAGTTCTCAGTAGTGTCCGTCAATAATCTTTGTTTTTACAGTCATTTACTTACGATTTTGAACCTAGAAAATAATATTTCATGATTGTTGGTTCTTAGGCTAACTATATGGACGCTGAACAATGTCCTTTCGTCGTTCGATCGCCTTGGTTTCTCGAAGTTTTGGCTACACATATTGTCATAGTCATAGTCATAATATTTATTGCTTCATGTTGGTTACATTTCGTTCTTAAATTTAATAACAGCTCGCAAACATGAGCCCTGCAAGGGCATTGCAAATTATAATAAATGTGTACAAATATTAATTTAAAATTTGATAAAATTACAATAGGATAACAATTCAAGATAGATAGAAAATTTAAATAAGTTAATAAAAAGAATATAATTTTAAAATCAATTCATATTATACTTAAAGCAATTATAAAATACATTTAGGGTTAGGTCAAGAGATGTATGTCAATCAAATCAAAAAATAAATAAACAAGTAACAATAACATTCAAAGTAATAATCCATTCAAAATTCATTCACATAATATTCATTATAATTTAGTTTAATAATTTCGGTTTAGGTCAACAAATTTACGTCATAAAAAAATCAAATCAATTAGTCAAACATCATTAATTATAACGTCATATACAAAATTTATAATGTCATACACACACAAAAAATAATACAGATTATTAGGTATCATTAAAATTTATCATTTAAGAACTCCTTCAAATCATAATAACACTTATCTATAAGAAATTGTTTTAAATTATTATTAAATGTACAATCTTTTTCAATGTTTTTTATATGATTCGGTATTTTATTATATATTTTAACAGACATATGGTATGTTCCTGAGCTTACCAGATGTAATTTAGTAAACGGTATTGCCAATTTATTTCTATTTCTTAAATTACGTGTTTGGAAATATGTATCACTAATATGTTTATATAAATGTCTATTTTTGCGCACCATTTTACTTATTTCAAATATATATATACATGGAAGAGTAAGTATCTTTAGTTTTATGAAATGTGATCTACAGCTTTCCATGTCTGTAATATTCACCAATATACGTATACATCGCTTTTGTAATACAAATAGTTTATTTATGTCGGTACTATTACCCCATAAGATAATTCCGTAACTTAGCCATGAGTTTGCGTAAGCATAATAAGCGCTTTTTGCTGATATTAAATCTGTACTTTTCTTTAACTCGTAGAGGGCATAAGTGAATCTAGATAACTTGGATACTACTCTATCAATATGTGGCTTCCAATTTATATTACAATCTATTTCTATTCCTAGTAATGTGCAAGAGGTAACAAAATCTAATTTACTGTTTTGGACGATAGGTTTAGTTTCAATAGGTTTTTTCTGTCTAGGTTTAAATTGTATCAATTTAATTATCTCGCCCATATTGTATTCTAGCTTTTCTTGCAGTTCGTTGCTAGATTTGCAGGGCATTACAACAGAGATATCATCCGCATAAATGACAGTTTTATCCTTTATACAGAATGATATATCATTAATATAAATTAGAAATAAAATGCATCCAAGAATGCTACCTTGCGGAATTGATCTCTCTATCCTATCTTTTTCTGATATAATTTTACTTAATATGTTATTTTTAGAATTATAATAGTCGACTTGTACAAATTGTTCCCTATCTTCCAAGTATGATGCTAACCACTGGTGTGCTATCCCCCTTACCCCTATAGAGTGAAGTTTCTTTAAAAGTATTTTATGAGAAACTCGATCATACGCTTTGCTCATGTCAAGCAATACTCCTACAGCATATTTCTGTTCGTTAATTATTGAAAATATTTCATTAAAATACTCATAAAGGGCAGTAATAGTAGATCTACGCTTCCTAAAACCATGTTGACAGTTATTAAAAATTTCAAATTTTTCACAAAATGATGTTAGACGCATCGCCATAGCGGACTCAAACACTTTGGAAAAGGTAGATAGTAGTGCAATAGGTCGAAAATGTTGCGGTTCATTTGCGTTACGTTGTTTAGGTACAGGTTTGATAACTGTAGTTTTTAATAATTTTGGAAACGCTGCTTCTCTAAAAGATTGGTTAATTAGATAAGTTAAGGGTTCAACGAGCTCCTCTTTACATTGTTTTATTAATGACGGCGGAAATTCGTCTATTCCAAAACTAGTTTTATTTTTCAATGACTTTAAGATAGAAAGAACTTCAACTTCCGTAACTGGGTTTAGGAACATACTTTTTTCAGTATAACTTAGAGAAGGGCGCCCTTCAGGATCTGGTTTGTTATTATTGTTACCCACTGAAACAAAATATTTATTTAGCATGTTTGAAATTATGTAAGGATCAGTTGTATTGCTTGTTTCCGTTTTTAAACCTATATTCTTGTGGCATTGCTTGTTTATTTTATTTGTACGTTGTTTAATTATTTGCCACATAGATTTCGTTACGTTTTTTGAATATTTAATTTTTTTAATATATAAGTTCTTTTTTGATGTTATTACTATATTCTTTAATAGTTTTACATATTTATTGTAATAATCATTAAGTAATGGATTATTTGTCTGAGATTTTAATATATGTAGTAATCGTTTATGTTTACAAGATGTTTTAATACCTTTAGTTAGCCACAGTTTTTTATTAATATTATTTATTTTTACTAGTTTTTTTGGAATGCACTTGTTTAATAAACATGTTAATAAGTCGTGAAAAGAACTGTAATTTTGATTGATACTTTTTTTATGTGATAATATTTGATCCCAATTTATAGCCTGCAATTGTTTTTTAAACAATGCAGTGTTATGCAGGTTAAAAATTCTTTTCTTTATATAGTACGCAGTTGAATTTTGTTTTATTTGGGGTTTTTGAAAGTCAATTATTGTACCTTTGTGGTCAGAGATTCCGTATTCTTTTACTTCCACAGTTGTGTTTGTCATATCAAAGTTGGTAAATATTGGATCCAAACAGGTAGAGCTAGTAGGAGTTACTCTCGTATGCTCTTTAACATATTGATCAAAGTTATAACTTTTAAATAAATTGATGTACATTTTACTTTGACTGGAATTACTTAAGAAGTTTATGTTTAAATCTCCTCCTATTATTATATGTTTTTTATTGTATTTAGTCGTTAATAATTTAAGTACTTTTCCTATTTGTTCATTTACTATAATTGTTTCTCTTTTACTCTCTGGCCAGTACATAACAACAAGTATTAAATTTAAATGTGGTATTTGAACAGCACATATTTCATTCTAATATTCTAATATTCTAATATTTAAGGCCAGTTATATGTATTACGGTTGTCCGCAGTGCACCATGTGTCGGGCCCCGAAGCCGTGCCTCAATGAGAACATCTTCAGCCTGCAGGACGGCGCCAGCGCGCTGCCCACGCATCACGATGACTGCGGTGAGATTATATTATCATTATGTTTTTATTTACCCTTAAGCATTCAACTGCTAGATGTTTAAATCCAAAGAAAAGTCCACTAGAAAAAAATCCACGTGGACCAGGAAGCGGACGGGACTCGAACCCGCACCCTTCGCAATCCGGGCGAATGAACTGACCATTATGCTACCACGGCCCTATTATATTGTCATCTTTAAATAAACATCCACATTAACGCTCAATATTTTTTAAGGTTCCGTGCCTCGAAAGGAAAAAACAGAACCATTAGGGTGAGGCCAAACGAGCGTAATTTTGTGAGTGGTGAGTCGCAGAATTTCGGTCGCAGAAATTCTGCTGCATTCGGTTTCATACAAAGAGGCAGTTGGTGCCACACGACAACGCAAAATGAGTTGTCTGCCGACTCAATGCGCATAAGCTCGTCCGAATTTCGGTCGGGGTGAGGGTAGGGCAAGGAAGGTGAGTGGGGAAGCAACAGTCTGTTACAAGTTGCGTGGTGTAATAATTCTTGAAAAACACGTAATGGCATGTGATAGTACTATTCAAACATATCTGGATTTGCACATAAACGTTCATATAAAGTATGGAACTGTCCACATATCAGCCTCTGACTATTCAGTGGGTTTACCCAGTTTCTTTTTCTGGCCTCATCTTCTGAATATGCTTCGTAAATACACAATATTTTTAATGGATCCATTGCACTCGACGACACGAACACCCCGTACTAACGCTCAATAGTAACTGAATAAATTACGTTCGTATGGCAGCTCAACAGAAATTCAGTTGAACGTAAAATAAGTGACCGAAAATAAGCGACTCACAACTCACAAAATTACGCTCGTTTGGCTTCACCCTTATAGGATCACTTTGTCGTCCATCCGTCTATCCGTCTGTCAAGACCCTTTTTCTAAGGAACATGTGGAGGTTTCAAACTGAAATTTATATCAAATACTCAGGTCTACTGTCCCTTGGATCTGTGAAAAAATCAAGCTTCGTAGCCAACGCAATCAAAATATACATGTACTGTTTATGCCTCAAAGTTCCGCAAATTTTCGAAACTTGAAAGGGAATCAAAGGAGACCCGGCACTTTTCATAGAAAAAATGCTAAACTTGTATACAATTGAATTTGGTCTCAAAATAAAGCCAAAATTATTTGCTACATAAAACTACTTTTGCCTTATTTTTAGTGAATCGTGGAAAGAAGTTATATAATGAGTAATATTTTTTAACCCTAAATCTTCAAGGGACAGAATTTTACTTCAAAATATTACTCAAGTGACTGTAAAAACTATTATTCCTTTGCTCTTTCTAAATAAAAAACCAAATGTCAATTTGACAATCCTAAAATACAAACAAAAAAATCATTCGCATTTCGCATCCGCTCCCGCGAACTGTGATTGTGAATGTTCTCTGCTGTAATTGCCTTATTATCCGTTATTTCTCTTGACGACCCGGCTACTTAAAGAGGTTATATTGACAAACCTACGTATTTGACATTGACAGCTAGCTGCTGATGACAAATATTGCCAGACAACGTTACCCAATTATGAAACACAGATAAAAAAAATAAAAAAGTATACAACTTTGGCACAAAATGCCGGGTGTCCTTTGGTACGAAGCAACGTCTTATAGCACAGATAAAGGAATAATTTCGGAAACCGTAAATATACCTACAGGATTGTACGGAACCCTCGGTGCCCGAGTCCGACTCGCATTTGGCCGGTTTTTTTTTTATAAATAAACTGTATTACCTTTGAATGGTCCTGTAGGAAGGCCAAAGGGGAAGATCTTCCTCCGAGCTGGGTGATGGTAGCTCGGGGGCCGCGGCCCGAGTCGGGCCGCGGCCCCCGAGCTACCATCGATGGCGATCTGAGATCGATTAATCGAAGAATCGATTTTTTGAGCCAAAAAGATCGATTTTATTAATCGATATGTAGTACAGAATCGATTCTCTGAATCGATATTACGCCCTTGAAAATCGACATTCGATTTTATTTTATTTATTTGGTATAAACCAAAAAAGTATTTACAATTATTTGAATGTACCCGTTATAAGAGTGCTGCCGGTAAAATCGTTAATTATAAAAAAAATCGCGAAATGGCTGTATGTTTGGATTCCTTCTCCCCGTTTTAATAAAAAAAGTTACGTTTGTTTGTAATCTTTGAATAAAAATATTTTTTATCATCGAATCACCTGATTTTACTGATAAGAGATCATTAAATTGTAATATGTATCTTGTTTTTAAAAAAATAGACTTATATTACATTATAAACAAAAACTTAAACAAAGATCGATTTTTCAGAAATCGATCTTATTGGCCCCGATTTTTTTGTGGATCGATTCATTAGGTCACGATTCGAATCGATTTAAAAATCGATCTTTTTCGGAAAGAATCGCCATCCCTAGGCCCGACTGATGTTGGTCGGGCATCGTATATATGAAGAGTTAGCTTCCGAATTTCATTTGCGCGATGTAGGCTTCCATACTATTATTGATCGCAGAGCAGGTAACGCCATCTCTTGAGGATGGTGAGTAATGATTTCCTCCATCCGTTGTCTATATGTGGGGCATATAGATGTCGCCGCCACAGTCCCCTTCAATATTTTTAAGTAGCTGTGCCCCCCGGATTTCCCCTTGGTTTATTAGGGCTATTTTCCCGCAGTAAAACGTAGCCTTTGTGTTAATCCAGGGTGTCAGCTAACTCCATACCAAATTTTATTAAAATCGCTTCAGCCGTTTAGACGTGAAGAAGTAACAAACACACACTCACAAACTTTCACCTTTATATTATTAGTGTGATAAAATTTCCTATTTAGCTAGAAATTAATTATTGAAAACTGGGAAACATTTTCCATTTTATAATAATAAAAAAAGCGTATTCTTCCCTATTGATTACGAACCTTCTATACAACTGAATAAAGGTACTGACCATTATGCTACCACGGCCCTATTCGCCGCGTCGAAATTTTCCTAGCCTTAAGCTGCAAGGCAGCGCCATCTCTTCAATTATGTAATGCAATTATGTAAACAGTAGCTATTATAGAAGGAATTGATTCTTAATATTAATACTTTTGAATACTTTTACTAATATAGTTGTAAGGGCAAATGTTGCTAACAAAATGGACTGTATTATTGTCTGATAAAATAAATGAATTTGAATTTGAATCTCTTCGCATTGTAGGTAACCCACAATGTCAAATCAATACTTTTTCAAGTATTAAACAATAGGGCCGTGGTAGCATAATGGTCAGTGCATTCGCCCGGATTGCGAAGGGTGCGGGTTCGAGTCCCGTCCGCTGCCTGGTCCGCGTGGATTTTTTTCTAGTAAACTTTTCTTTAGATTTAAACATCTAGCAGTTAAATGCTTAAAAAATAAATAAAAAATGAATAAAGGTAAATTATCTTGGGGGTGATATAAGTCGCGGCACGAAACTCTAGCGCAGACCGGGGGTGTATTCCGAAATATATATCAGTATACTGGCCAGTGGTAATGACGTCACGAATCCGACGCCATATTGTACTGTTAAGCTACCATATTTTTACCGGGAAAACGAATATGACGTATGACCGAGCGTGCGTGAGATGCATTCGAATTTTATTTCTTTTTATTACAAGCTTTTATTTAACTTGCTATGTATGTTTGTTACGGTCAAATCTTACAACTCAATTTTAAAGCACTTGCCCTCGACCGATTAAGCTGAAATTTGGTATGCTCGTTCAGTTCGGATGACAATGCATGATTAACAGTGTGACGTCATTCTAAATCCAATATGGCGGCATACCCAAAATGGCGGACCAATAATTTTTAATGCATTCCTACAATATGTCTAAAATTTGAAAATCTATTTAGAAACAGATATCTTTAACTAATTTAGTTGAAATTTTCTTTTTTTCTTTTTAGCGCATTTGAATAAAAGCTTGTTTTTAAAAAGGTTTTTTTTACCTTAATTTTTTTATTTAAAGAACATTAATGGCTTCCGAACAAAAAGAATTCCTTTTAATTGATGATGTGAATAAAATATCTTTATTTTCACTATTTTTAATATTTCGTCGATTTATGACGTCAGTGCACTGGCCAATATATTTCGGAACAATTCACCAGTATAGCGTCGATTCATGACGTCATTAGCACTGGCCAGTATACTGGTATATATTACGGAATACACCCCGGAGCGCGCGCGTGAAAATGCAAATGCCGATGTGTTGTTATCCCTGACTCGTTTTGTTCAGACTGCGTCAGACTTACGTGCCGCGACCTATAATGCGATTCAACTAAAAATAGGACCGACTGCGCGCCATATTGTGACGTCATAGCTGTCAATTCAAACCAAATAGGTAGAGTGAGCAAAAAAAAGTTTATATTTAACAAAACTTATTTACTAAGATTAAGTGAGAAAAAGCATTAGATTTTTTTAATAACATTTATATACTATGATTGAGAAAAAATCACCGATTTTTAATAATATTTATTTATTAAGACTGTGTGAGAAAAAACATTAATCAGAATCTAGCTCTTCTATTCCGCTCATCTCTGCATTACCGCCGGAGTAGTTATGAATAATCATGCACTATTACTGGGTCACATACGAACATGCATCCTTTATGTAAACGAAAGTTTGAAATCGAGTTTCAGCATAAAGTGACATTTGGTTGACGATTTAGTTTATCAACCATTCATGGCCAAAGCTCAATAAGTGAAAAAAAAAAAATATCTACCGATATTAATTATCAATATTTGTTATTGTTTGTTGAAGTTATACTTCTTTAGGCGCGTTCTGAAAAATTGTTGAGAGTGAAATTTTAAGATGCGCGCGCATCATGTAACACAAAAAATTAACAGCATGAAGTTGGTCGCTTTAGCGACCAACTTCATGTGCCGCGCTGCCATTACCGCGTCGCCCGCCGCACCGTACGCATGCGCGGCCACTCGCGGTCCTAGCGCGGGAAACACGTGCAACAAACATCGGGAAAAGTTACGAGTTTTGAATTTAGAACAGAGACTGTTTTCATATCTATATATATATAAAAATGAAACCCGTTTTCCGTTGTCACGACATAACATGAAAACGGCTTGACCGATTTGGCTGTTTTTTTTTGTAGTTTTCTAATACTCTGTACAAGGTTCTTACGGAAAAAAATATAAAGAAAATCCCAAGGGGATAAAATAAGGAATGAAAGTTTGTATGAAACTTTATCAATTTTAAACCGATCGGGCTGAGACTTTGCATGCAGGTATAAGAAGAATCATAGATGAATGTCATTGTGTATAATACAAGCCTGAGAACAAAAACTGTAGTCTACACTTCAGCTTTACACCGAAGCGAAGCGAGGGCGGGCCGCTAGTTTATAATATTTATCTACATGTTTCTAGTTTGTATATTCGGAATACGTGTTTGAGTTTCATACAAGTGCAAATCACATATGTTCTAATAAATTATATTCAGTAGCGATTTTAATTGAATATTTTGATTATTTATTTATTTTTTCAAATTAAAACTGAACTTTATTGACTGTGTCCTTTTCCAGACTTTTTATTAATTTATTGTAATTAATTATTTGCATGCAATTAAAAACTAATTTTAAACGATGCCAAAGAAGGATAACTTCTCACGCGCCTACATAAGTACACGCAGCCATTTTTTTTTACAAATGTTTGATTTTTATTCTAGTATTAGCGGAGTGCTAAGAAAGGGTTCCAAGGTTTTTTTTTGCAAACCGTACTTTTCAAGCGACATTTGACAGACAGAGGTCATAGGCTTTCCTATTCCTATTTGAATCGCATTATATACTAGTGTATTGTTCGTGTTGTGCAGGCGTAGATGCAGTGGCGGAGCGCTTGAAGCCGCTGCGGATATCGTCGCCGCAGGGGCAGCCCGGCGCCTCCTCCCCGCCTAAGTGGTCCTGCGCGGTGAGACGACACATTCACATTCGACACATCATCAGCCTATTAATGTCCCCACTGCTGGGGCACAGGCTTCCCTATGGATGGAATAGGGAGATTGGGCCATGACCCACCACGCGGGCCCAGTGCGGGTTGGTGGGTGATAACGACTGCAGATGCAGCCGGGACCAACGGCTTAACGTGCCTTCCGAAGCACGGAGGAGCTCGAGATAGTAAATTTTCGGTCACCCATCCAATGACCGACCACTGCGAAAGTTGCTTTAATTCAACGATCGCTGCGGAACGCGCTAACCACTTGCGCCATCGAGCTCCTCCTTTTATTTAGTATATAGGAAGCGGCATTAGATAGGCAACAACAAGGCGACATTCGACACATCACATATTATATCGATATCATATCCACGATGTGGCACTCGAAATATATTTGTCGTATTGTAGATTACGCCGTTACTTTCGGTTGGTTGTATTTAAAATTCACCATGAACAGGGATGATGACGGGGTACAGTAAACGAAATTCTATTTAGTCCGTCAGTTGGATGATCAAAAAATAATGGACACGTATTTTTTCTTTGGGCAATCAACCAAAAAATGACAAAGTTATAGCGCGTCAAAGTTTGGGAGCAGGGGCTCGTGACGTCACTTTTGAGTGAATTTTCACTTAAAAGTGTACTCAAACGTGACGTCATGCGACTTTTCAAATCAATATATCTCTGCAATGTTTATATTATGTGAAAACGTGTCCAATACTTTTTGATAATCTACCTGATAAAAGAAGAAAAAAAAATTAGTCATCATCCCTATTGTAATTCGATGATGCCGGTTCGGCTATAAGTTAGTTTATTTGTTTCTTAGGTTTTCACGCACATCACTCATTAAATAAAACTAGTTTTTACGGGTTAATGCACGAAATTTTATTTATTTATTGACACACACATTGCAAGACCATCAGATACTATTAGTTCTTTTTGTTTGCATAATTTAACATAAGAATGAGATAGAAAGCCTCTCTTGAGTTTGTTTCGCCGGTTCTTCTCAGAAAGGTCCCCCAATTTTGGAACCGGTGGTAGTTTACGGTAGTTAGGGTCAAATAAATAAACTCAAAATTACAAAAAAGAATATGAAATAAAATACTTTATTAAGTAAATTAAATAATACATTCATACATAGACAATAAAACTTAAAATAAAAATCGAACAATGAAATAACCAAACGCTCAATAAAAGTCTTTCGAAGGTAGCTCGACAAATTGAATAAAAGTTTTATTCTGACGACGTAGCCTGTAAAGGCTACGAAACGTCAATAAATAAATAAAATTTCGTGCATTAACCCGTAAAAACTAGTTTTATTTATAAGTTAGTTTTAAAACGAGTCTGGCTATTAACGCCACGCCAGCACTATTGGCGATGCATATTCAATTTTATAGGCTTTACTATGACTTGACTGACCTCCTTGCTTGCTGCAATGCTGTGTTTTAATCAACATATAATATTATCACTTACAATCTGTATGTTGTAATGCAAAACATTATAGTACACATACACACTTTCACACATAAATACACATGCACGGCAACACATATACACACGCACACGTAGGCACACACACACAAACACATGCATGCGCACACACTTTCACACACAAATACATATGCATGCCAACACATACACACGCGCGCACACACATTCACACACAAATACATATGCATGCCAACACATACACACGCACGCACACACACAAACACATGCATGCGCACATACATTCACACGCACACATGCACCGGCTTCATGAACATTCTTAAATATTGTCTAAGAAAATAATATAAAAATAAACTGCTTATGGAGGAGCGGTGTCCTCTGACACAGGATTTTTATCTTAACATGTGTCTTATCATCTTAATCTTAACAAAAAAATCTTAACAAAAAAAAAAATCAGTCATTGAGGGGGACCTCAATGACTGATTTTTTTGTAGAAAAATATTAAGAAGAATAATAAAGATTACTAGCTGACCCAGCGAACTTCGTACCGCCCTAAAAAATAGGGGTTGTCCAGCGGACAAAATTGTGAATCTAAACCATTCTCAGATCCCCTTGAACACACACAAAAAAATTCATCAAAATCGGTCCAGTCGTTTAAGAGAAGTTAAGTGACATACACACAGAAGAATTATATATATAAAGATATTTATTTTTAAAAACAGTTTTATTATAAGATCTCTTGAAACACAGACTTGGGGTGTAGACTTGTTTATTAGCAGCTGGTGAGTAATTGTTCTGTAACACAAAACGCTTTGCGCCTGAAATACAGGTACAGTTTATACTGTCACTTAGTTACAACGTCCGTTATTTTGTAGTTTTTATCATTATTATTCATTGTTTTTATACTGAATAAATATGTAATTGATTATATTGATCGATTTTATTATATAATGCAGAGACAGTCTTTTAAAACGCGATGCCACGCCACGCGCTATTATTCAAATCAAATCTACTATTTTGTATGATGCCTGTGTGTCGTGGCATCAAGTGTTGGTATTGCACACCAGGGGGCCATTCGCCTAACGGAAATGCTTTGGAAAACACTTACGCTTACGATTTCATTTTGTTATTTCTAGCCACCTGAGGTTTTCAAATGCCTCGCGCTCTTTTTTTTTCTTTTGCATTGGTAATAACAATATAAAAAAAATGGATGCGTGTAACTTATGTACGCGCGTGAGAAGTTATACTTCTTTAGCATCATTAAAAATATTTTTTAATTGCATGCAAATAATTAATAATTACAATAAAATAATAAAAGGACTGGAAAAGGATAGTTAACACAGTCAATTAAGTTCAGTTTTAATTTGAAAAATTAAATAAATATTCATAATATTCAATTAAAATCACTACTGAATTTAAGTTATTAGTCCATATGTAATTAGCACTTGTAAGTAACTAAAACACGTTGTGTCTATATAGAAACTAGAAACATGTGGATAAATATTATAAATATGAAAACAGTGATCAGAGGCGACGAGCGTGCCAACATTGTTTTTGACAACGCGATCATCTTATGGAGCTCCGTGGATCGTTCAAAGTACCTTTCGAACAGATGTCTAATAATGGTGGATTATTAACCACTTAGTGGTATTATTAGACACTAACATTCATAACGCGCCCGCGGCCAACTTCATGGTGTTACTATTGTGTTACAGTGATGCGCGCGCATCTCGGAATTTCACTCACATGATTTTTTCATAACGCGCCCGCGGCCAACTTCATGCTGTTACTTTTGGGTTACAGTGATGCGCGCGCATCTAAAAATTTCACTCTCATCATTTTTTCATAACGCGCCTAAAGAAGTATAACTTCAAAAAAATAGCGTGAGGTATTTAAAACCTTCGGCGGTCAGAAATAACAAAATAAAATCGAAAGCGTTAGCGTTTTCCAAAGCATTTCCGTTAGGCGAATGGTCCCCTGGATACATCGGGTGTCGACACGTGGTTTTCAATAATATGTTTGAAGCAGGGCTTGTTTACCGGTTAATTTTCAAACCTAAATCAATGTCAAGTATATTAGGAGCGTTTTATCTAGGTTTGGCTCTACCTTAACCTTAAAAAAAACGGTTTTCCTAAAAAGCGAAATCAAATAGGTTTTGAATCAATTTAGCGGTTTTTAAAGTGTTTCATTTCACTCTTACTGACGGCATCGTTATAAATGAATAACTTGACTCACTGGACGCTAGCAAACGTGTCAATAAATGCATCAATCTCTGAGCATTAACAAGTTGTGACTTGATTAGTTCAAACAAAACAAACTTCAAGCGATGCCGACGCGTGCACGTGTCGCTCTGGATTAAATCGGTTTATTAAGGTTTTAGGTACCGCTTTCATTTCGGATGCGCACCGGCGCACTTTACTAAAAACCGGTACTAACCTTTATTTACCGGTTTATTTTCGAAACCGGTTTCAAGCCCTAGTTTGAAGTGCAAGAGTGCTGTGCTTATACAATGTACAAGTAAACTTACTTGTACATAAAAATTTGCTAACACCGCGAACGTCACTCAAGCCGCGTCAATGACCCGAGTTTACCTATAGTGTCATATTATCGTAATTATAAATTATTATTTCTTTATTTAAAGACAGTGTAATTGAAAAACGCGAACTAGTGAGGGTTTTTTGGAATGACAGGTACCAGGTGGCAGTACTGAGACGAAAGGTCTAATCATCCGTCAAATCGCATATGATCTCATAGTCTATGAATCTGGTCTATGGAGTTGGCGTTAAAAACTTCATACAAAAGACCTCACGTAACAGTGGCGCAAACTGGTGACGTAAATTTTCATAAACACCCTCATTAACACACATTAGAGACAAGAATAGCCTACACCTGAACTGTGACTTTGTTTACAATATAATCTCCGAAGTTATCTCTGATCTTTTTCTCCTGCACTCCAACTGACTAAATCTCATTAGAGGTGTACAAACTGTACAAGTGCGTTATTTGATCGCGTGATATTGCGTTTTCGGGGGCAGACTTGCACGTACGAGAATTGGCCGCGATCGCAGAAGTGCGCAATGTGCGGCGCCGCCAGCACTGCTCTCGCCGCCGCGCCCGCTCCCTCCGCCGCTGTCGCCGCCGCGGCCGCACCCGCTTCCGCTACCGCTCATGCGAACGCCGCCTCTCCTGCGCCGCCCGCTTCTAGGCCGCACCTGGGTCAGTATCAAGAAATCGATCTCTTATCTATTAGACAAGTCCGTCCGTCCGTCCGTCCGTCCGTCCGTCCGTCCGTGGTGCTGTTTCAGCGGCCAAACCGTAAGAGATAGATATAGAGAATGTTTAAGTTATAAGTTAAGAATAGTCTGATAAGACTACAAACCGGATTTGAGTAACGTAGCACTTCCGGTTTTCGAGAAATCACGTGATTTCTATTTCAAACGAAACCACACAAAATCTCCGAAGTTCTCAATTAATTAAATACTTTTTTTTTTAAATACTTTTTAACATTTGGTTCACAGGTTTGCTAGTATATCTTTATTCCAATTGGATGTATAGTCAAGGGCGGACCCAGCTTTGGCGTCAGGGGGGGTCATATAGCCAGCTTTGGCGCCAGGGGGGGGGGTGTCATATAGTCGTGGTATATTAAATATTGAAAGTACTTAAATAAAATCCCCCTGGGTTTGGTCCATCTGTACCCAGCCCAGGGGGGGGGGGGGGGGTCATGACCCCATGAACCCCCCCCCCCCCCCTGGATCCGCCCTTGTGTATAGTACAACACTTTTGAATCGTCCAAACATGTTTTTCCCTACCACTCGTTATTGGACATATTTTTTAGCTGCGAAGAAAAACTATGTTGTTACAACGTCATCACACATCACACACCAAGTGATGTACACAAGTACATCACATCACCAGCCTATTAATGTCCCCACTGCTGGGGCACAGACCAGTAACACCTTGTATATACCTAGGTCCACTAAAAACAAGACACATGGTAACAATCCCGTAAATAACTACTATAATGTTAGTGACCATGAAAGCTTAAAACAATATACAGGGTGTGACAAAAGTCCGAAATAAAACTTTAGGGTTTGGTTGTGTTCCTTGTATAGAATTACCTACGAAAGTTTGACGCCTTTCAGACCACTTTTATTTTCTAATTAAATTAATAAAAATATCGTTTTACACCTGCCTATGACTACCCTATAAATGCGTACGATTACTACTACCTAAACAGACCCCCCTCACTCCCCCAGGCGCCCCTGCACCCCGCTCAGATACCTACAAATTTTTATTTCGGAATACATACCTACAAATTTTATTTCGGAATTCTGTAACACCCTGTATAGGTCTACTGTATTTCAAAGAAAAACGAAATTTCGCACGTTCCTTACTCTGTTTCCATTTCATTTCGAAAATTCGTTCGTCGGAAAATAGATTTAATTTAATTAAAATGCTTGCAAGAGTATTTTTAATCAAGGCTCGAGAAACATTTTTAGCATGTCAAATTATCAAATAAACCATTTTTCTGTATTATTTATTGTAATTCCGATACTTCAAAGTATTAAACGACAAATTAAGGTTGACATACAATAGTTTGTATCAACTCTAAAAATTAGTCGGCTAACACTGTCAAAGAAGGTTCTTTCAATGTTATCAAAAATTTTGCCATAAACTGACTATATTGTTTCCAAGTAAAAAAAATTACTCATATGGAATGACACATTCACGAAAACTGTTTGTGGTTTCGAAATTTTTGTGCCTGTTGAAATAAAATGAAATAGAGTAGAGTCAATGGCGAAATTTCGTTTTAAATTCGTACGTTACCGAATAAAGTTCCTGAACCTATGGATGGAATAGATTTGACCGTAACTCACCACGCGGGTTCAATGCGGATTGGTAGGTGCTAACGATTGCAGATGCAGCCGGGACCGACGTGCCTTCCGAAGCACGGAGGAGTGCGAGATAGTAAAATTTTCGGTCACCCATCCAATGACCGACCACTGCGAAAGTTGCTTAACTTCAACGATCGCAGCCGAACACGCTTACCATTTGCGCCATCGTACTCCTCAGGTCAGTACATATCGTACGCGAAAAACAGACTGCCTTGCAAGGTTTTCCTGTACAATAAGACCAAGATCTTTTGGCATTTTTGACATTAACACGAAGGCGCTGCTGGTGAACAAGGGACGAAATGAAGATTTCTATGTCCGTAAAATCTCACGGAAGGGAACTTTATAATGTATAATAGGGTATTTGACAGTATTAAAAATAAAGTGCCAATCTGTGTTTACAATGAATATTGGCAGGGGTTATTACTATTTTTACATAAAAAATATTCATAATTTAACTAAAAACCCACGAAAAAGATAATAGTTTTCTTATCTATTGTCACGTGACCCAAACATTACATTGTATTGTTTGACTGTTTTAATAACAGTCGTGTGACGTCACACACTAGTAAGACGCCATATTGTCCAGAGAAACGTTTTCGCAGCAACTTGTAAATGGACTTTTTGATTTGGTTATTTTTACTGAAATACACAACAGAATGATGAATATCCACTTTTTATGGACTCCATAAACATTAGTCAATAACGTGAGATCGTTTTCTAAAACTTGTCAAATACCCTATTACTCCGAATGAGTAACAGGAGAAATAAAAGGCTTAGTTACGCATTTTAAAAATGAGGGCTATCGCGTCTGAAACCGCCGCTAGAGGCGCTTGTGTTGCGTGAGGTCTCCGAAATGTCAAGTGTTATAGCTTGCGGGTTGACTACGCGGTTTTTTTCTAATTAAAATAATAGTTGTGAATATTTGGTAATAAATCAGACTTATTATGGCAAATGTGAGTTACGTGTCAATGAATGTCAGTTATTTAAAAGCGGAGCTAAGAAAAAATATTGTCCTTCTTTTTTCCGAACAAAACGGGACTGCGCAACACTGTGGCATGGGCGATTATGTTTAAGATACGATTCTTTTGTACTAAAATGTAAACTTTGATATCACGAGCGTGTTTACTAACTTTAAAAGTTACACTTCAGGACCTCACTCAACAGTGGCGCCATCTGGTGAGACAAAAAACGATAGCCCTCATTACTTCCACGTGCCACAAGCTCTTGGTCGCATTGTATTCACCCTACGGCCATACGTACATAAAGCCCATAATTCTGTGCAAATTTACAACTGACTTGTTTTATAATTCACTGTGTACATCGTTTGTTAAGACGTTTTGCTACATCCTGGTGCAAAATTTGACTGTACCAATACTAGACTGTAAACATACTCTGCCGAAATGAAGAAATAAACTTGAGGATGTTAACAAGAATATGTTTTAATAATGTCAGGTATCAACGATTTGTGCGCGTCTCAGGAAGCGGACGTAGACGCGCGGCGCTCCAAGCGGCGCAACAACAATATTGACTGGCTGTGGCTGCAGGCTTGTCTCGGTTAGTACGCGCTAAATATATACAATACAATACAATACAAAAACTCTTTATTAAACACCACGAAAAACATTGAACATTCTGCACAAAAACATTTAGTACAGGTGATGCAATAGGCGGCCTTATCGCTTAAAGCGATCTCTTCCAGGCAACCTTTGGATGGAGAGGATTAGAAGGAAGTGGGAGAGACGGCGGTGTAAATCGCTAGTATAATATAATCTATTAGTAAATACATATCATACACATATACATATATAAGATATATATACATACATAAATACATACATAGATACAATAAGTATAAATACATACATTGATCCAGTCCAGTTTTTAGAACATGAGATATTAAAAATAAAAGTATTACAACGTCAGATAGTGGGACTTCACAAGGTTTTTAAACGCATTAATAGTTTCCGCACGTCTTATCGAAACCGGAAGAGAATTCCATAGATGTACGGCTTGCACTGCAAACGAACGGTGGAAAAAAGTTGTGCCGTGTACGGGAGTCATAAGAGCAAGATATACAGGTTGTTACTAAAATACAAATAAAGCTTGAAGGGCGTTAAAGTACATCATATAAGGAGGAGTCTTCTCTAATTTTCTTTAAATATTTGCTTGAGTAACCCTAGAGGGTGAAAGGCCCCCAAGCTTTTATTTGGATAAATTTTAACGTACATCCCTTTTACCTCAAAACTTGTAACTTTATTTTAGTTACTCACCGACTAACAAAATCGGAAAACTAAAGACTATAGATATTTCAGGGTTGTAGTTGTTGCTGTGAAATAACTGAAACACATTTAATTATCACATACTGGGTTTATTCATCGTAGTGGCGTTTACGATACATTACCAATGTTGTTAAACTAAATACAGTATCTTACCTTAATGCAAGATGTTGCTAATATGGCCCTTATCTATATAATTTTATAAACAAAGTAATTAACATCTATAACTTAAACACAAGCAATTGTAAATTAACTTTTAAAAAATGGCTACTTAACCTAAGTTACGATGAGACTGAAGAACTACTCTATATAATTGCATAACTACATAGTTGTTTGTGTAAATAGGTAATATTATTTGCATTGAGGTAGATTATCCATATGCAAAATTTTAAATGTTTCGCACGGCATAGATATACGTATATTCTTTTAAACTATTTCTAAGTGGTATCTTTAGTGATTTCCTGTATTATTTATTTTTTGTTTTTCTTCTCTGTTCCTGGAAATAATGCTTACAGTTAATAATATTTATGACTCTAATGTTAATGAGTCAAAACTATGTCTATTTCCTTATATATACTGAATCGACATCTTTTTGTGGGACTCTGATGACCTGATATACAAGCATTTTTATGCTTAGTTTAGGCACGGTAATAATATCATACAGTATTCTATCTTCATACAAACGGTCGGAAAGCGAGTCATACCTACGCCACTCGAGTTCGATGTGCTCTCGGCGGGCACCCAGTCGCGAATGCGCCGCCGCGCCGCAACGACGACCGAACGGTCTGAATTGTTTTTTATGCAGTTAGCCGTGCTTAAACGTGCGTTTTGTATTGTAAATATTTGATTTAATTAAGTAGATACCTACATAATTTAGTATGGAAATGAACAAACGACGATCAATATCGTACAACAGCACAATTGCTGTTTTTGGTTGCTTGAACTCTTCAATAACACACCCAGAGATATCATTTTTTAAATTACCTGAAATATTGGAAAGGTGTCTTACCTTTATAGAATATTTTTTATATACCTATCTACTAGTACGTTATTTGTTTCTAATATTTAGGTGTTTCGGTTTTTCCATCGGGCAAAATATCTGGAATAATATATAAATAAGTGGTTAGGATGAAAAAAGAGACAAACGAGTAATCTACCTACACTCGCGTTAAAAACAAAACTACATAAAATACTGTAGGCTGGCGGCCCTACCGCGTGCCAACGCAGCGCTCGGCCGTAGGCATTTATTTTCAAGGACAGGGCGGAGTCACAATACTGTATAGATAATATTACCGTGGTTTAGGCGTCAGTCTCTCACAAAGTTCTACATAGCTAATTAAATAAACACCATAAGGTTATTATACAAAAAAAAAATCATTTTAATTTTCTTGATGATTTATGTTGAATTGGATCGCTACGAAGACAATTGAGATGGTGACAGCTTTTTATTGTATTGATTTTTGAAGATTTGGAGTCCACACTGTGCATCAAGCTTTTTGGAGGTCATCCACAACCGCGTGGCCTCATGGCGTCGACATTTTGTTGTAGCTAATTTCAGATTATTACGTATAGAGTCCACATTTATGTACGATAACTTATAATTATCCTCTACGCCTAAGAACCCTTAAAACAATTAAGAAATGCAGTAGATATGCAAATTTTCTTTAAAGATACCTAACTAACTTAATCGGAAATCAAAATTATACTCACAAATATTGGATTTTCTAATAAATTTTCCTTAAAGCAACGAAGACATGGTCTTTTCTTGGTGTTCTTTTACCCATCTTTCATTTCCAATCGTTTTTCGTCTTTTATTTAAGCGAATTTAAAATTGAGTATACACAACTAGGTTGCCTGTTCTAGAAAAGAACCGCCTTCCTAACACAAACCATTTCTTAATAATCTGGACGCCCCCTGACGGCGATTTCTGTCACCATCATTATGTTTAAGAAAAATAGAAAAGCATTATATATATCGGGCTGTCGAATGCTCGTTCTGTGCTAGTTCTCACTAGTTTCGATAGATGGCGTATAATAAAAATAATTATGTTACAAATTCAGTATTTATACTTGAGACCTGAAATAAAGAAAAACATGTAATAAATAATAAATATTTCCAATTAGCCTAGCCCCAAAGTAAGCACTGTAAGGCTTGTGTTATGGGATACTAGGGTAACTGATACAATACATATACTGTACATATATAAGTATATTTTTATTTAGAAATACATATGAAACATCCATGACTGAAGTACAAATGCTCGTATTCATCACACAAACATCTGCCCCCACCGGGATTCGAACCCGGGACCTCTCGAGTCGGCGACACCATGAAACCCGGCGTACACCACTCGACCACGGAGGTCGTCAAAATGTATCAGGGTTCTTTGAAACTCTACTTGTATAGGGGTGAAAGAGGACAGTTAATTTTACTATTGAGTATGTTAAGACAGCACTTGTTTAAGTCGGAAAAGAGCAGAACGGATTTGGATAAAATTTGGTAAACATATAGTTTATTACCTGGATTGAGACATAAGGATACTTTTTATACCGGTAAAATGTTGTGGGATTCTTAAAAAACTAAAGTTAACGCGGACGAAGCCGCATGTGGTTATAAGTATTATGTAAATGCTTCTTTTCATGTTGTATTTTAATAGAACTCATCTTTCTTTCCAGAATAAACAAAACTTTAAGGTTTAGTTCAAATTATCGAAATCTGAAAGTAACGTATCATTGACAGTATGTATTGCTTATTGAAACGAGCTTTAGACAAGTTTGAATAGGGTTGAAACAGATAAATATTTTTTAACAAGATAATAGCGATGATGATGGGGTACAGTAAACGAAATTCTATTTAGTGCGTCAGTTAGATGATCAAAAAATAATGGACACGTATTTTTTCTTTGGGCAATCAACCCAAAAATGACAAAGTTATAGCGCGTCAAAGTTTGGCTGGTGACGTCACTTTTTAGTGAATTTTCACTTAAAAGTGTACTCAAACGTGACGTCATGCGACTTTTCAAATCAATATATCTCTGCAATATTTCTATTATGTGAAAAAAGAAAAAATACGTGTCCAATACATTTTGATAATCTACCTGATAAAAATTAGTCATCATCCCTATTGTTCTAGGTAATTAAATTTTAAGAAATCGGTTTTTAGTAAATATGAAGGTTATTTAAATATTAAAATCAAGTATTACTTTTGGATTCCATATTATAATCATAATCAAAATCATTTATTCAGTTTAGGCTGTCACAAGCACATATGAATGTCTAGAAGCTACGCCATCGGTTCGTAAATCTACGGCGGGAGACCTTGTACTGAGAAGAGCCGGCAAGAAACTCAGCAAGGGCTGTTTTTTTTCTCCCTGTTTTATCATTTACAGAGTCGTCAAGTTGAAAAATGACTTTAGAGATGATTCATGAAGTCACCTCTCGTTACATAATGTGCATTTTGATTGCTGAGTCACACAGTATAAATACAAACAGAGTTATTTATAATAGGTGTAATTAAACATTTACATATTAAATATCAAAGTAGTTAGGGCAGACTCATCTCCGCTGGCAGCACCCGTTCACGAGCATGACGCATGAACCAGCTTGATGATTTGATATTTATTTATTTATTTATTTGATCACCAACATAATAAACATTGACACAACAATCTAGCAGGTAATGATAAAATACTTAAGCTTAATGTTATTACAATTATAGGTGAAGACCACATGCGTTATGGAAAAGAAGCAACAAATGCTGGTAAACTGTTGATGAAAAAGCCTTTAAAAGCTTTGTAAGATTAAAAAAAAAACATATATTCAACAATGTCGCGGTTAAAATCAATGCATTATAAGAAGAGTTATATCGAATAAAGTCAACTTATATTAAAAATAACAAAATGAATCGAAATTAATTAGTCACAATAAATAACAGATAAAATTAATTTATAGAAATAATAACACAATTAAAATCAAATTACAATAAAATTAATTAAAAGAAGATGTCACATTAGTTTATTTTTAAAGTTGCGAATGTCACCCTTGAATAAGTCCAAATCGTTGCTCTTGCTCATGCTATTCAGCTCTTTGATCATTTTATTTATAGGCGCATTTTGGCCAAGATTAAATCGGCAGTAAGATTCCACGAAAATATTAAATCTTGAGGAGCGAGGGAGTTTTGATGGAGCAGAAAATGTCAGAATTTGCACTAACTCAGGAGTATCCAGGATGCCATTCGCTAGTTTATAAAGAAATAACAAGTCCAACATGCGTCTTCGGTCCGAAAGAGAACAAATTTTAAAATGACTCAGTCTTTCTTCATAATGAAGAAGTGTCCTACCCAGATTACAGGAGTATGTAAGGTGCCATAGAAATCGCTTTTGTATGCATTCCAATCTCTTTTTACCTGGCTGCGCAATGCAAGAGCGCGAAGCGCGACGCGCAGACAGGGTTATGTGTTTAACAGTCTATATATGTATGTTTGTTCCTTTGTGGCACACTAGAGACCAAACGCCTGGACCGATTTTGATGATTCATACATCAATCGATTTGTCTCAATCATGGGAGTGCTACTATAGATATAATAGTAATCAAAATTCAATATGGGCAAAATTAGGCGCCATATTTGCCTTGCAAAAGTTGACAAAATATGTCGAGTGGGGTATCACTGTCTAGATAATCGAAAATCATATTTAGGTTCCTAACACCATTTTTCATTTTATATGATTGTTTAGGATCTACAACGCTTGAAAGTTGTATATTAACTACTTACGCTTTTAATTTCAAACTTACGTTTGTATCGATCTTTGTTACTCTTTCACCTAAAAAATACTGAATGGATTTTAATTAAACTTAACAGTAATATAGCTCATATATGATAATTACATATATATAATAATTTATGTAGTTATTGAGTGAATTGGTCAATATATAGCAATAAGTGTCACATAAGACGGAAAAAAATGTCCCATCTGCGAACCATTTTGGCCTGCACTGCAAAAACAATAAAAGTTACATGAATGTAATGTAGAGTGAAAATGTATCTCTTAAATAGTTCTAAAAAAAGTCCGTGACACCATATATCTATTTTTAATGTGTAAGTCATTACCGCTAAAATAGTGAATCAAAACTAAAATATTATCATATACTTCATAAAATGGATTCCAGACCATACTGCAGTACTCTAAACCATTGATATTGATGATGGTTTCGTGTTTTGATGGTGCAGGGGTAGTGGAGGGCGAGCCGCGTCGCGTGGAGGCCTACCTGCGGGGCGGCGGAGACCCGGCGCGGGCGCTGTCCCCGCCAGAGGTGGCGCTCCTCAACCGCGCCTCCGCCTTCGACGTGGGCCACACGCTGGTGCACCTGGCCATAAGGTACTGAGGAGCTCTAGCCAGAGTTGATAGAACCTGGGGACGTAGCGATTAATTGAAACAACTTGACGATGGTTATTATTGAAGTGAAACTTCTTTATCGGCGTTGGAAAAAATTTACCCTCACATTTTTATTAGGTTACGCGTCACGTTTTTTGGTTACGCGCCATCTTTTTTTTAAAAGAGCACTATTTACCTCATCCGAACAATTGCTTCTTCTGTCAACTTTAAAAAAAAAAAGTATCGACAGCAAATATTCGTGTTTCACACAAGGTAAGGTAAGGTAAAGTAAGGTAAGGTAAAGTAAGGTAAGGTAAGGTGTAGTTATACCCCTTTAGTGGGTGAGATTTTGAAAAATCTTAGCGCACGCCTATATATATATTTCTGGAAAGTTGCATGTAGATCATTTTTCGAAAAAAATAAGGCCATAAAGAAGTTTCACTTCTTACGTGTGTACACTAGTACACGCACACATTTTTTTTTCTGAAGTCTCTATTGTGCCCTCCCCTAAATCCGGCAGTGACTATGACCCGGCGCGACACAGTATTGCACTCATTTTATGTACGATCAACATCATACATATTGCTAGCATAGCATTTTTAACCGCAAGTAATTATTTAGGTCAATATTTTACCGTTTAAATATATTTCATGATCACGCCCAAGTTAGTTCGCGTTTGTCTCGAGCAGTGTGCACACGGTTACTTTCAAGTTTATCAAGTGTTTTCCTGTCTTCGATATCAAGAAATAGCAATTCAATGTACTGTGTTGACAACGGCTCGTGAATTTTACATCATACAAGTTTTGAAAGGAGGAGCGAGGAGCGATCGTTGAAGTTAAGCAACTTTCGCAGTGGTCGGTCATTGGATGATTGACCAAAAATTTACTATCTCGAGCTCCTCCGTGCTTCGGAAGGCACGTTAAGCCATTGGTCCCGGCTGTATCTGCAGTCGTTAACACCCACCGCATTGGGCCCGCGTGGTGGGTCATGGCCCAATCTCCCTATTCTCCATTCATAGGGAAGGCCTGTGCCCCAGCAGAGGACATTAATAGACATATAACACTTAACCTTTGTATTCGTTCCGAAACCGCTGTTGAAACTCAACTGTACACTGCGCGGCGCTGGAAGAGCTTACATACGCCAATCGACGCATTCTAGAAAAGTCCCGTTGAATGGGGTATTTGACAAGTTTTAGGAAACGATCTCGCTTATTGACTAAATAAATAAAACTAGTTTTTACGGGTTAATGCACGAAACTTTATTTATTTATTGACGTTTCGCAGCCTTTTAATTTTTTTTTTAGTCTTTATTTGATAGACCACAGATCCTTGCAGCTGAGCGGCGGTTCGTTCCTCGAATGATGCGCGAGGCTATTGAGATTAAAAAATATCCAAATTTCAATAGGGAAGATGGTTGGTATATACCACCAGCTTGGGAACCTATTATACAGGAGATAAAATCCCAACCCCGAGCACACACACAAATTATTGACTAATTTTTATGGAGTCCGTAAAAAGTGGATATTCATCATTATGTTGTGTACATTTCACTAAAAATAACCAAATCAAAAACTCCATTTTCAAGTTGCCGCGAAAACGTTTCCCTGGACAATATGGCGTCTGACTAGTGTGTGACGTCACACGACGACACGACTGTTATTAAAACGTCAAATGATACAATGTAATGTTACTTTACCCGGAAGTTTACTTGCGTGTGACGTCATTTTAGGCTCCGCCATTCCCAAGCGTTTTGGGTCACGTGACAATAGATAAGGAAACCATTATCTTTTTCGTGGGTTTTTAGTAAAATTGTCTTTTTTAAATAGTAGAAACCCCTGCCAATATTCATTCTAAACACAGATGCTAACAATTGACACTTTATTTTTAATACTGTCAAATACCCTATTGAGAGTTAACTAGCACCCGCGAATGCGTAGTACCTACTTATACGCAGTAACGCGCAAGTGTTATAAACGAGTGCAGATGTCGTTGCACTTTCACCCTTACGACGCACTGCATAAGGCCAATTGATTAGCCCACGTTCGCATACCGAATATAAAGATTTAGCATCTGAAACAAGTATGAACTCGTGTAGTTATAGAGTCATAATATTTATTGCTTCATATTGGTTACATTTAGTTCTTAAATTTAATAACAGCTCGCAAACATGAGCTCTGCAAGGGCATTGCAAATTTTAATAAAAGTGTACAAACATTAATTTAAAATTTGATAAAATTACAATAGGATAACAATTTAAGATAGATAGAAAAACGAAATAAGTTAATAAATATATAATTTTAAAATTAATTCATATAATACTTTAAGCAATTATAAAATACATTTAGGGTTAGGTCAAGAGATGTATGTCAATCAAAACAAAAAATAAATAAACAAGTAACAATAACATTCAAAGTAATAATCCATTCAAAATTCATTCACATAATATTTAAATATAATTTAGTTTAATAATTTCGGTTTAGGTCAACAAATTTACGTCAGAGAAAATCAAATCAATTAGTCTAACATCATTAATTATAACGTCTTAAACAAAATTTATAATGTCATACATACACAAAAAATAATACAGATTATTTATAGTTCGTATATTATAATGTGATGATATGACGTGTGCAGGTTTCAACGCCAGGATATATTGTCGACGTTATTGTCGCGGATCTCCGGCGGCGGGCCGGGTCTGAAGCGGTCGCCCTCATATATCGGTGAGTCTATTGCTATATCGTTTGCTTTATTATTTATTTATATCAAATACTTATATCTATCATTACAGGTATTTACCCAAGGCAATAGATACATCCATTTAAGAAATACATTATAAATATAACACATAAACACACATAATATAACACATTGGAAAAATAAATAATTAAAAACGCTGTTTCTTTGTTCATTATAATGAGATAAAAGTATCAAGAACTATATGTATATAGGATGATTTCTTCTTGGTATTTTGGATTAGGGCATTGTCGACTCATTTTTTTACGCGAAGTATAACATTTTAGGTTTCACTTCCGTTTGAGTGATACATTTCCAATTTGTATGCTCTGATTTTATTTTGAAATAACCAAAATTTCCACCCTTCTTTTCACTCCCTTAAAGTGTGGATTCTGGAATAAAAACTTTACAATGTAATTTCGATTGACTCAAAACTATCTACCTAATTTCATCAATAATTTGTTCAGTGGTTTTAACGTGAAAAGGAAACAATATGATCAATATGTATTGTACGGGACGCCGGGCTGTCGCAGTAGCGGACAGTTACCGACTCGTACTGAGGGGTGGAGGAAGTTACACGCAGGAGTCTTGACTGTAGTGGACTGTAGTTTCGGCGAATAAAACCCCTGGTGTTCGGTATTGAAGAAATCGGTGGGCGCTGATAATGGATGGCCGGCGAGAGGAGGCTGATGGTCCAGAGTGAACCGCTTGGTGTTTCTTCCTGTTCCTTATGGTAGGAGCGCCTGTCGCTGAATGCATGTCGGAGCATGTTCCGACTCGAATTTTATATGCTAGGACTGAGCTGGCCAGCGATCCATCCACCTCACCCCCGCTATACTTTATTTTTCATTTTCTCAAAAATTACATAAGTGCGAGCTTAAAACTAATTGTACATACATCGGGCATACATATAGGCATATTTTTAACACAGTTATGTGTCCGTAAGCATGATATTTTAGGTGTGGCGCGCAAAAAATAGGTCTCCGCAATATTTATACTTTCCCCCTCCATAGGGCTTCGCCCTGCCACGGGGCTCCGTTGCCCCACCCGCGCGCTCCGGGCGCGCTGGGTGGGGAGCGCAACATGTCTTAGAAAAACGTTCTATACAAACAGATTTTGTCTCCTACACGGTACATTTCTACATTTATTGATGTGATTCCTATTTATTTATGTAGTCCTATGCGATATCTACCTAATACAACAAGTTTCTAATAAGAATATTAACAAATAACAGCTCTACGGCCCTATAAAGATTACAAATTAAAAAGTCTTAAAAAACCTACTTACATTCACTTAATGCCTAACTATCATATATCATTTTATAGAAGAAGTAAAAACACACAAAACAACATCATTATTATTACAATTATATCTATATCCTATCGACTATTTGTAAAAATCTATTTCCAATATTTTCCTTAATTACGCCTAAACTACTAACACGATTTATACAAAACTTTGATATATTACTCTTATAACTACCTATTTTCTAATAAGACATAAAATAAATCAATCAAAACATAAAACATACTATTATCGAAAACTGTCAACTCAGGCAAAATCCTATAAGATGTGAGACAAGGACAACCTATTGTCTCCGTCCCTCCTATAGGTCGGAACTATCAGTATTCTGACTAGTTTCCCCGCGCCACCGCTTGGCGTCGTGGCGATCGTTTAGATAAAGTCTTATAAGATTATTGGAGAGAACGGGGCGGAATATCGCTCTGAACTATCAATTTTACAATGGTTTACTATGGGCAAAGCTATCTATTATTGCGATATCCGACTCATTCTAATAAGACAACAAGGGAATGATATTTTTAATTCGTATACAACCGATACATGTGAAATCATAGATACATTTTATAAATCAATCTCATATTATCGTAAGTTCATTTCCTCTCGCTTCGGTCGTCGCGTACATGTATGAATCAATGAATTGTGAGTATAATAAATACGTAATGGCGTATAATTTAGTAATTTAACAATAATTTATTAATATACTAATAGGATAAGCCTAATATTGCTACTAACTTGTACTAAGAATTCTATTTATGTTTATCTGAAATAAATGATGATTATTATTATTATTAATAATAACTATGGATACTCAGTATCCAGTATAGAATAATTATTATATTTTAAATTTAAGCATTTAACTGTTAGATATTTAAGAAAATTTTACTAGCAAAAAAATCCACGCTGTTTTCCCGTCTCCGTGGCCGGCATCCGCCGCGAAATACCTAATTGAAATGTAATCTATCATATGAGAATATCTTTGTATGACCAAGAACAAGATACAAGTTGGTCGAAAAACGGTTAGTTGGCCATTAAAAACGGATAAGTACCATGAATGAATGATTTGAGAGATCGTTGTAATGTGGTGTGTGAATATTATCAGTAATATGGTGCCTATCTAATGCCGCTGCCTATATACTAAATAAAAGGAGGAGCTCGATGGCGCACGTGGTTAGCGCGTTCGGCTGCGATCGTTGAACTTAAGCAACTTTCGCAATGGTCGGTCATTGGATGGGTGACCAAAAATTACTATCTCGAGCTCTTCCGTGCTTCGGAAGGTACGTTAAGCCGTTGGTCCCGGCTGCATCTGCAGTCGTTATCACCCACCAATCTGCACTGGGCCCGCGTGATGAGTCATGGCCCAATCTCCCTATTCCATCCATAGGGAAGGCCTGTGCCCCAGCAGTGGGGACATTAATAAGCTGATGATGATGATATACTAAATATAAAATTATTATTGTAACCGTATATATCTATATCCTAAATGATGTAATGGAAGGTGACTTCAGAAGTATCTCTGAAGTCATTTTTCAACTTGACGACTCTGTATATAACAATACAGGGAGAAGAAAGCAGCCCTTGCTGAGTTTCTTGCCGGTTCTTCTCAGTACAAGGTCTCCCGCTGTAGTTTTGCGAGCCGATGGCGTAGCTTCTGACCTTCACAAGTGCTTGTAACAGCCTAGACTGAATGAATGACTTTTCATTTCATTAGCGCCGGACCTTGCGGCCGGCATCCGGCGCCACGTGGCCAGCGTCATCCGCCACAAGAAGGGCAACTTCCCGTGCCGCTACATCGCCGAGTTCTGCACCTTCTCGCTGCCGGCAGGTCAGTTACTCCAATATTTATGATTTTATTTATTTTTTAAGCATTTAACTGCTAGATGTTTAAATCTAAAGAAAAGTTTACTAGAAAAAAATGCACGCGGACCAGGCAGCGGACGGGACTCGAACCCGCATCCTTCGCTATCCGGGCGAATGCACTGACCGTTATGCTACCACGGCCCTATTAGCCGCGTCGAAATTTTCCTAGCCTTAAGATGCAAGGCAGCGCCATCTCTTCGCATTGTAGGTAACCCACAATGTCAAATGAATACTTTTTCAAGTATTAAACATTTGAAAGAAGAAATAGCTGCCTTGCAGCTTAAGGCTAGAAAAATTTCGACGCGGCTAATAGGGCCGTGGTAGCATAATGGTCAGTGCATTCGCCCGGATAGCGAAGGATGCGGGTTCGAGTCCCGTCCGCTGCCTGGTCCGCGTGGATTTTTACTCCAATATTGTTACTTTTGAACTATAATTTAATTTGACGTTATCTTCATTTTAACATGTATTCTAATTTGACATTATGGTAACGTTTTTGTATACATATATCCGTTATTATTATTTTTAAAAATGTGACTTAGACATCTCATTTATCAAATTATAATTTCAATTTAGATTAATATAAGTACTTAATTGACATTTTTAGAATAATATAATTATTAGTTAACTACGAGTAAATGAAATAACATTGCATGTCAACATGACAGAATATGGCTGAACCTAATATAGTTTGTATGTTTGTACACAACGCAATAACCTGTATTCGCAATAAAAATTATTTGAATTTGAAATTTGAAAATTTAACCATTTCATGGACCGTTTCGTTGTCTCTAATAAACAATAGGGTATTTGACAAGTTTTAGAAAACGATCTCACGTTATTGAATAATGTTTATGGAGTCCGTAAAAAGTGGATATTCATCATTCTGTTGTGTATTTCAGTTAAAAATAACCATGTCAAAAACTCCATTTTCAAGTTGCCGTGAAAACGTTTTTCTGGACAATATGGCGTCTTACTAGTGTGTGACGCCAAACAACTGTTAATACGTCAAACGTTACAATTGTTATGTCACTTTAACCGGAAGTTTACTTGCGTGTGACGTCATTTTAGTCTCCGGCAATCCCAAGCGTTTTGGGTCACGTGACAATAGATAAGAAAACTATTATCTTTTACGTGGGTTTTTAGTAAAATTATGAATATTTTTTTTGTAAAAATAGTAAAAACCCCTGCCAATATTCATTCTAAACACAGATGCTAACAATTGGCACTTCATTTTTAATACTGTCAAATACCCTATTTGGAATTGAGTTGCAACGCCCGCAGCGTTACCATCTTTTTTGCTTATTGTCTAGTGCCAACGGCTAGCATTCAAGAGAATTACATCATTGTAAATAAATTATTTATATAAACTAAAAGAAATAAATAGTGTAAATATTTCCAACACTAAAAACATGCATATAAATTAGTTCAGTACACTTAAAAAAACATAAAATAAAAAATACAGCATTTAGTATTACGAAGCCAGAGAAATACCGCAATAAACTTTTAACTCTATTATCTCGAAATGAGGTTTGTGTGGACTGAATCAGTATTGCTTAAATCGGTTCAATGAGGGCTATCGCGTATGAAGCCGCCGCTAGAGGCGCTAGTGTAGCGTGAGGTCTCGGAAATGTCAAATGTTATTGGTTGTTGGTTGACTACGCGGGTTTATTTCTTATTAAAATAATGTTGTGAATAATTGATAACAATTCGGCTTAATTATGGCAAATATGAGTTATGTGGCAATGAATGTCAGTTATTAAAAATTTGAGCTTAGAAAAATGATTATGTTCCCATTTTTTCCGAATAAAACGGAACTGGGCGTCACTGTGGCATGGCCTATTATGTTTAGGATATGGTTCTTTTGTGTTAAAATACGATCTAAATGTAATCTTTGATTTCATGTGCGTATTAATAAACTTTAAAAGTTACAACTTAGGACCTCACTCAACAGTGGCGCCATCTGGTGAGACAGAAAACGGTAGCCCTCATTAGCCTACCCCAATGTAAGCACTGCAGGCTTGTGTTATGGAAAACCAGGGTAACGAATAGAATACATAATATTGATAAATATATAAGTGTATTTTTATATAGAAAATACATTTTAAACATCCATGACTGGAGTACAATTGCTTGTATTAATCACACAAAAATCTGCCCGATCGAGATTCGAATACGGGACCTCTCGAGTAGGCGACAATTAAACCCCTAGTACAAACCACTCAGCCACGGAGGTCCTCAAACATGATTTTTTGTCTCTACTTTAAACTTATAGAGGTGTTTTTATTTATGTTGAAAACGTTTTAACTAACCATACCGGTATAAATGATACCCCATAGACATCGAGGAGTTGCCAGCTGCTATTCAGGAGCAGCTGTTCTCGGAGCTGCTGGACAAGGACGCGCAGCAGACCCTGGAGGCGGACCCGCCCCTCATCAACTGGAGCCACGAGCTGACCGTCACCCTGGGTGAGTCACATTCAGGACCGGCTTTTGTCCGTCTTTCTGTCAAGACCCTTTATCTCTGGAACGCGAGAAGGGAAGAATTAAAATTAAAATCATACACTCGGGTCTACGGCTCCTCGAAGCTGTGAAAAAAATCAACTTTCTAGGTTAATTTGTAAAAAAAAAAATGGTTGCCTGTAAAGTCGGTTTTACGGGCGAAGATTTTACGTGACAACGTCTTTTTCTCGGTAGAATATTTATTGATATGAATATAATTAAATTGCACAATAGGAACAAGGAATTGAATGAAAATAAGAATTGCACAAATTTTAACTATAGAAATATATTTTGTTTACTAAAACATTGTACATGTAAACTTAAACTTAACACGAGAGACTCATCGTAACGTTACCGAGCGTTACACTTTTTCATAAGTGACTCCCAGCCGCAACCTAATTTAAGACGTTGTCACGTCAAAAAACGGCCGTTCATCTTGTGGACCTACAAAGGACATGGCTAAGAAACTGCCCTTAACGTGTATAAATATTTCACACTAGCCCGTAACTTACCATATTTTTTTATTAATTACTAGCTGACCCGGCGAACTTCGTACCGCCTTAGCGTAGCTTTGATGCACTACTTTATTTTGTATAGCTGACCTATCTTATGTATGAGTACCTATTCATTGTTAGCGCGGTTATGGATGTGTTGTCACAGATTACCACAGATTTTTTTGTTTTAAATTGAATGACGTTGACATTCGTTACGTTATATTTTTCAATCTTTCTGAGATATTTTCTTTATATTTTTTTCAGTAAGAATCTTGTACAGAGTATTAGAAAACTACAAAAAAAAATCAGCCAAATCGGTCAAGCCGTTTTCATGTTATGTCGTGACAACGGAAAACGGGTTTCATTTTTATATTTATAGATTATGTGTTTATTATTCTCATACAACTTTCGTGAAATAATCAAATATATAAAAGTATAAAAATTGACTTCATGTCTGTTTCAAAGCAAAATGTTCCGTTTTACAAAATAAATGAACAACAAACGTACAAAAAAAAAAGAAAGAAATTGTGTAAGTATATCGAAACAAACAATATTATTTCTAAACTCCCTCAAACTGTGATATATTAAGCCCTAATTTTTATATTAACAAATCACTGAAGGCCTATAGTAATAGATTTTAGTATTCTGATCAGGCTTGAGATAAGGCTGTATGATAATAATAGAATTATTAATTGATCCTTGAAGTTTTGCAAATGGACAAAATAAAACTTCACAGGTGTTCTGTTAGGCCGACCGTAACAAATTATTATTTATTATTATTTGCTTTAAAAAAACTTTTTGTGAAGAGATTAACTCTCACAGAGAAATGGGAAGAAAAATTCTAAGAAAATGCAAAATTGATGACTCTGTAAATAATTGGCAACATCTTTTATCAAATTTAGTATGGTAATGACATAATAGAAGTTCTTATAATTTTCAAGATTGTGACTTTATCAAAAGTTCCTTAGCCTTTTTTCATAGAAATTATTATGAACCAAGAAGTGCTTGAGTGGTGTTGAAGCACTTCTTGATCGGGACACATTAAGAGCGCACGTGGTGTTTAATGCGATTCAAATAAGAATAGGAAAGCCAATGACCTCCATCTGTCAAATGTCGCTTGATAAGTACGGTTTGAAAAAAAAACTCGGAACACTTTTTTAGCACTCACCTGATTCTAGAATAAAAACCAAACTTTTTTAAACAAATAATAATAAATGTTGATAATTAATATAAGTTGCTTTTTTTTTCATTTATTGACCTAAATCGTCAACCAAATGTCACTTTATGTTGCGTTCAAAAACTCGCTTTAAAACTTTCGTTTACATATAGGATGCATGTTCGTATGTGACCTGTATGATTATTTATAACTTCTCCGGCGGTAATGCAGAGTTGAGCGAAATAGAAGAGCTCGATTCTGATTAATTGTTTTATTTTTCACAGTCATAATAAAGAAATACTACTAAAAATCGGTTGTGTTCCTTCTCAACCTTTAGTAAATTAATTTTATTAAAAAATCTGATGTTTTTTTGTCTCACTTAATCTTAATAAATAAGTTTCATTAAATAGCATAATTTTTTTGCTCACTATACCTATTTGGTTTGAATTGACAGCTATGACGTCAAAATATGGCGCCCAGTCGGTCCTATTCTTAGTTGAATCGCAGTATATAATAATAATAATCATTTATTTCAGACCGTATAGTCCATATGAGGGTTAGTAACATTAAAACTTAGAAACTATGTTAGCACAATTGTATTTAAACTATTTTCTATATTTAATATATGTGGAGACATGAGATTGTACCCAATGTCTCCACAACGGACTCTCCAATTTGCCTGCTATGACGGCCAAGATGCTGTTAGAGCTACCCCTGACTCTGCGCATCAGTGACTCTACTCTTTTACGCATAATAGCGTAGTAATCGTCAACATGGGCGTCAGCAAACATCGTTGATGCACTACAATATCGCGGCAGCCCCAACAGCATCCTGAACGCGTTATTGTATTGGACACGCAGGCCGTTGATGACACGGCGCCTATATTTCCCCCACTACACGTATAGAAGGTTTGGCAATAGTCCCGAAACAACGTCACCTTAACTTGATCCGTACATCGGGCAAACTTTTTTTGCAAGGCTAATTGGTGTGAGTGTTCGAACTATATATTTTTAGTTCTTATTTGTATTTCTTAGATTTCTTAGAAGTCATTTAAGTAATAATTGATATTGAATAAAGATTTATTATTATGAATTATTAACCATTATTAACGCTTACAAATACCTATACCTAATCTTTGAGTTCGGAACATCGTTTACTCTAATCAGTTAAAAAATAACCCGAAGATGACCTATTGCAAGGAAACTTAGCTATTGCTTGCAATAATTCAAATTAAATATGAGACACAGTTATGATAATGTCTCACGTGAGTAAAGAATTTCCATTAACACTTGAATTATTTGTCATAAGGGGTTATCTTTATTACGGTTGTACAGCCAGCAACAAACTATATTACCACAAAGAGAAAAATTTGGTCAATCAACAGTAATCATAATAAAAATAGTGTGGTTTTAATCTTAGATTAAAAAAAAAGGGTAGATACGGTACGCTCATACTTGCATCATACAAAAACTGATCCCACGGCAGCGCAAACGGGACGGCGAGATCCGCGTCACTGCACTACCGACCAATCACGCGACCAGTACTCGACGTCACTACCGAATAAGATTCAAAACAAACAGCAATTTTTATGAAAAAATATATTTTATAGTACTTACGAATGAAAAGTGATGCCGTGGGTTTTATTTTTAGTTCTTGAGCAATTTGATCACTTTTTAAAAACACACTTAGGCATTGTTTTATCATATAAACACAAAATATTAGCTATATTTCTTTTTGGCGTTCACATGTACGTCGTTGCTATGTCATGTTGTGACTAAAGCGATTAGGGTCGTGGACCACAATTTATGCGGATCACTTTTGTGAGGCTAGTGCCGTATCTACTCTTTTTGTTTTAATCTAAGGTTTTAATACAAGCACGATGCAATTGAAATCACCCGCGTAGGAGGAGAGCTTTCTATCCGTTGAGGAGACGTCTATATGTATGGTGTTTAATATGGTTGGTGTATTTGTTTCTTAGGTTTTCACGCACATCACTCATTAAATAAAACTAGTTTTTACGGGTTAATGCACGAAACTGTACTGTAGTATAGGGACTCGGGTAAAAGAACATATCGCAGATATGAAACATAGGCGCGAAAATAAATCTGCAGTGTGTGAACATGCATTAGGGGGACCAAACCACTACATTAGATTTGATAGACCACAGATCCTTGCAGCTGAGCGGCGGTTCGTTCCTCGAATGATGCGCGAGGCTATTGAGATTAAAAAATATCCAAATTTCAATAGGGAAGATGGTTGGTATATACCACCAGCTTGGGAACCTATTATACAGGATATAAAATCCCAACCCCGAGCACACACTGCAAGACCATCAGATACTATTAGTTCTTTTTGTTTGCATAATTTAACATAAGAAGGAGATAGAAAGCCTCTCTTGAGTTTGTTTCGCCGGTTCTTCTCAGGAAGGTCTCCCAATTTTGGAACCGGTTCTCTCGACAATTTTAAATAAAATCATTATTCTGACGATGCAGACCTGAAAAGGCTGCGAAACGTCAATAAATAAATAAAGTTTCGTGCATTAACCCGTAAAAACTAGTTTTATTTAATGGTTGGTGTACTGTGTATATGCAGGGTCTCGCTTGTACGCGCTGTGGAATCGCTCCGCCGGGGACTGTTTGCCAGACGCGGTCTGCCAGGCGGCGTACGGCGTCTTCGACCGGCATAACGCTCTGAGGGCCGCGCTCGCGGAGACGCTGCACCACGCGCATCGGAGGTGACCACACTCACTCGACTCACATCATCATCATCAGCCTATTAATGTCCCCACTGCTGGGGCACAGGCCTTCCCTATGGATGGAATAGGGAGATTGGACCATGACCCACCACGCGGGCCCAGTGCGGATTGGTGGGTGCTAACGACTGCAGATGCAGCCGGGACCAACGGCTTAACGTGCCTTCCGAAGCACGGAGGAGCTCGAGATAGTAAATTTTTGGTCACCCATCCAATGACCGACCACTGCGAAAGTTGCTGTAACTTCAACGATCGCAGCCGAACGCGCTGAGGGCCGCGCTCGCGGAGACGCTGCACCACGCGCATCGGAGGTAGGTTTAGGTTTAGGTTTAAAGATCTTTATTATTCACAAAGACAAACATTGATGTCGATTCTGGCATGATTCTCTAAAGCTAAACTTAAATTTGACAACAGTGCATCCTTGTCCTTCTCTATACAAAGTGAAAAGGTACGACTGACCTTAAATTTAGTTTTAAGTTTAGAGAATCACGCCAGAATTGACACCATTGCCACTTATGTGATAACACAATTTCACTTAAAGTTAGGTTTATATTAGTTAGGTGAGGTTCGTCGTCGTCATATTAAATGTAGGTAGGTACACATAATAATAAAATAAGTAGTAAGAATAACTAGTGTAGTAGTACCTAATTGTGATAATTATATGTAAATGTGTAGGTATAAGTTTACAAATTTAAGTTTTGTACATGTTAGGTAGGTAGATATTGTAAAAATTGTAGTCATTGTAATATAGTAACTAAGTAGTAATAACATAGGTTAAAGAATGTAGGTACATGTCACCATTTCATACATTCAATAGGTACTTATTGAGGTAACCACACTCACTCGACTCACATCACTTGCCACTTTTTATTACTATGTTTTTGCTTTTTTTGAAGTTATACTTCTTTAGCCGCATTATGAAAAAATTATGAGAGTGAAATTTTCATCACTGTAACACAAAATTTTAACATAACGAAGTTAGCCGCGGGCGCGTTATTTGTAATATTTTATTTTCCAAGTGACCGTGGGGCAGATTTGAACGAAGCAAACAGGGCAGATTTGAACGGGACATTGAAATGAAATGACATTTATTATTAATTTATTGTAATTAATTATTTGCATGCAATTAAAAACTAATTTTAAACGATGCCAAAGAAGGATAACTTCTCACGCGCCTACATAAGTACACGCACCCATTTTTTAAAAATATATTCGCTATCGGAATTTAGATTGAGGTGTAGATTTTCTAAACATATTCAAAGGTATACTACTTAAAATGTTAACTATAAAATTAACTAGAGGTCGCCCGCGACTTCGTCTGCGTTAACTAAGTTTCTTGGAAATCCCTCTGGAACCTAACATTTTTTTCGGGATAAAAGTAGCCTATGTGTTAATCTAGGGTGTCAGCTAACTCCATACCAAATTTTATTAAAATCGCTCCAGCCGTTTAGACGTGAAGAAGTAACAAACATACACACTCACATACTCACAAACTTTCGCCTTTATAATATTAGTGTGATTGTAACTACATATTTATATTCTAGATGATGTAATGGAAAGTGACTTCAGACGTATTTCTGAAGTAATTTTACAACTTGACGACACTGTATATAACAATACAGGGAGAGAAAAACAGCCCTTGCTGAGTTTCTTGCCGGTTCTTCTCAGTACAAGGTCTCCCGCCGTAGTTTTGCGAGCCGATGGCGTAGCTTCTAGACCTTCACAAGTGCTTGTAACAGCCTAGACTGAATAAATGACTTTTCATTTCATTTCACTACTGTTAATAAAACACAACACCTATATCACCGAATAAGGATATTATCTGGATGTCTATCGATTATCTCTCTTTCTCCGAAACGAACTTTCGATAGCGAAACATAAATTCCATGGCTCAATGTGCGCCTGCTGTTATTGGCTCTGGTGGTGAATGTGTTACAATAAAGATTGCCATATACTGTATTTTTTTTAACGACCTCCGTGGTCGAGTGGTTTGTACGCCGGGTTTCATGGAGTCGCCGACTCGAGAGGTCTCGGGTTCGAGTCCCGGTGGTGGCAGATGTGTGTATGATGAATACGAGTATTTGTACTCCAGTCATGGATGTTTCATATGTATTTCTATATAAATATACTTTATTGAAGTGAAACTTCTTTATCGGCGTTGGAAAAAAATTGACCATCACATTTTTTTTCAGTTACGCGTCACGTTTTTTGGTTACGCGCCATCTTTTTTTTAAAAGAGCACTATTTACCTCATCCGAACAATTGCTTCTTCTGTCAACTTTAAAAAAAAAAAGTATCAACAGCAAATATTCGTGTTTCACACAAGGTAAGGTAAGGTAAGGTGTAGTTATACCCCTTTAGTGGGTGAGTCTTTGAAAAATCTTAGCGCACGCCTATATATATATTTCTGGAAAGTTGCATGTAGATCATTTTTCGAAAAAAATAAGGCCATAAAGAAGTTTCACTTCTTACGTGTGTACACTAGTACACGCACACATTTTTATTATTACTATGTTTTTGATTTTTATTAAAAATACTAGCAAACCAGTGAACCAAATGTTCACAAAAAAAAATGTATTTAATTAATTGAGAACTTCGGAGATTTTGTGTGGTTCCGTTTGAAATAGAAATCACGTGATTTCTCGAAAACCGGAAGTGCTACGTTACTCACATCCGGTTTGTAGTCCTATCAGACTATTCTTAACTTATAACTTAAACATTCTCTATATCTATCTCTTACGGTTTGGCCGCTGAAACAGCACCACGGACGGACGGACGGACGGACTTGTCTATTAGATAAGAGATATTCGCTATCGGAATTTAGATTGAGGTGTAGATTTTCTAAACCTATTCAAAGGTAGATATATATATATACATATACCTTTAATATAAAGGTCCGTTTAAGTATAACGTAAGTAGATTTATTACAATTATTTCCCCTTCCTCCTCTTTGTCAGCAAAAGTAAGCAAAGCCCTTTACCCCCCCCCCCCTCCCCCCCTTATATAGGCTTAGGATAGAGGACTTTAACGCACATAATATTCATTTAAACAAACTTCATTGACACAGTATCTATTCAACATAGAGTAAGGTACAAATTTATAAATGTCTTTCGAATTTTTGGTATACATATTAATTCCGATTAACAGTCTTCAGTCCATGACACTCGAATCCACAATGCTGACGTAATCACTATTTCGACCCCCTCCCCCCTTGGCATTAAAAATAAGCAAAGCAAAGACCTTCTGCTCCCCTATAGTGCTTACGTAATACTTGAACGGCCCCTAACCTTATATTGACGAAATTATGTTTCGCTATCGAAAGTTCGTTTCGGAGAAATAGAGTAGACATCGAGATAATTTCCTTATTCGGTGATATAGGTGTTGTGTTTTATTAACAGTAGTGAAATGAAATGAAAAGTCATTTATTCAGTCTAGGCTGTTACAAGCACTTGTGAAGGTCGGATCAGAAGCTACGCTATCGGTTTGCAAACATAGTTTTGCAAACCGATAGCGTAGCTCGGAGACCTTGTACTGAGAAGAACCGGCAAGAAACTCAGCAAGGGCTGTTTCTTTCTCCCTGTATAATAATAATAAATTTATTTATTTGCCCCAACATTTTTACATAGCTTAAACTTAACAATTGTTTTTTTCTTAATGCTTAATAGAAGCGACAATACTATTTAAAACGAAAAACACAATAAAATAGCACTTAAAATACACTAGTACTTAAACTAGGCCGAGCCTGTAAAATAGGTACTAGATCCTTCCTTTTTCACTAAATTCATATTGAAAAGATTTCATCTTTAATATTTTTAATTTTGTGCTTGTGGATTCTGCAAGAATTTCTGGTGACATTTTGATTAAATTGAAACTATACTAAAGAAGAATATAAACTATGATTTATCTAACAATATGGAATAAATGTTCAACTTCATCATTGATAGTGATTTCAGCCAATCTGTAATTATGATTTTGCATTTATAGTAATTTAATGAGTAAATATTGTCAATTTTATTTATCTTGTTATATAAGAAAGGTCCGAGAAAACATTGGATTTTATAGACAAACTTGGTTCTAAAAACACTTTCTAGGCAGGCTTTGTACTTTTTACGCGTGGCCGATATATGTGGTGCGTATACGAGGTTTTTGTGTTGTGCAAGGATGGAATAAAGCACAAATAATTGTCTTACTGTCAACACATCAGACTCAGCATACAGCTCGCGCGTAGGATATCTACTTGGCTTAAACTCTATAATTATACGCTATAGTATTGATATATACAGAGTCGTCAAGTTGAAAAATGACTTCAGAGATACTTCTGAAGTCACCTTCCATTACATTATTTAGAATATAGATACATAGTAACATAGTGACGGAAGCACAAGAGGCCATATGAGTCGATGTCGTCCATGGCTCAGTGTGCGCTTGCTGTTATTGGCTCTGGTGGTGAATGTGTTACAATAAAGATTGCCATATACTGTATTTTTTTTAACGACCTCCGTGGTCGAGTGGTTTGTACGCCGGGTTTCATGGAGTCGCCGACTCGAGAGCAATGTTTATTGCAGATTTGAGAAAAGCTAGTATTATATGTAATATTATTGTTAGAGTATTTTATCTGTAGTTATTACTGTATTTGTGTACATTTATGTTGCATTATGTACGTTTATTATGAGTTATTTTAGTATTGTACGCGGCTTAGCCGCCTCTCACATTTGCAGTCTCACTTACTAGGTGTGCTGGAAGAAATTTTTTTTTAGAAATAATCTTTTTGTACGTGAACTATAAATAAATAAATAAGAATGAATTTCGAAACACCCCCCCCCCCCCCTATATATCATTTACCGTCATCCGCACACCAACCCCCCCCCCCCCTAATTTAGAATGACGTAATATATGGACGGCCCCTAGGCTAATTGGTGTAAGTGTTGGAGATATTTATATTTAATTTTCAGTTTCTACGAGCGATGGCAGGCGTGGGAGCGCGTGCAGGCCGCCCTGCTGCAGTACGCGCCCGACGACGGGCAGCTGCGCGCGGAGTGGGCCCGCCTGCTGGCCGCCGCCGCCCGCCCCCACGCCGCCCTGCACCAGGTCAGTGTCGCGCCCAACGTCGCCCGCACTACCCAGCCCACCCTACTCCTCCCGCCCAACGTCGCCCGCCCTACGCTGCCCGCCCTACGCCGCACGCCTTAAGCCCCCTTATCTACGCCGCCCGCCCTATGTATCCCGCACAACGCCGCCCGCCCTTCTCCCGCCCAATGTCGCCCGCCCTACCCAGCCCGCCCTTCTCCTCCCGCCCAACGTCGCCCGCCCTACGCTGCCCGCCCTACGCCGCACGCCTTAAGCCCCCTTATCTACGCCGCCCGCCCTATGTATCCCGCGCAACGCCGCCCGCCCTTCTCCTCCCGCCCAACGTCGCCCGCCCTACCCAGAGCGCCGTATTTACCCCTTTAGAAAAGATTTTGAATATTTCCAATAGAAGTTAACAGTAGAATTATTCTTCCTATTGAAAGTTAATGTAGAATATTTGCAAATGCTATTTTCCTGTTTCTGTACTGATCGTTCTACTGCAACTAGTTTACAGAAAAAACGATAATATGTACAACTTCAAACGCCTGAATCTCTCAATAATGTTCATTAAATTAGATCAAATTAATTACTACGACATCAAAAATATGTTTTTGTTGTAACATAATGTAATAGAATTTTGATTTTCTATCTCATTAAATATCAAAAAAACATCTAATCTCCGTGAGTTTTCCCAAAAGATAATGCAAGTTTACCTCGTATTTTGATATTGAATTAAATAGAATTACTATCAAAAAATTTTATATAACTAATCTACCATCATTGAACTACTGAAATATGTATATATTTTTATAATTAATTCAATAATAATGATTTTATAAGACACGAAACATCACCCGTAAAATGCAATATATACTAGTGCAAATCTACCTACGCGCCGATTAGTACGGCGGCGGTGCAATTTTGTAAAAGGGCTCTTAAGCCCCCCCTATCTACGCCGCCCGCCCTTCGCTTCCCACCCTACGCCGGCCGCCCTACGCCCCCCGCCCTACGCCGCCCGCCCCGCTGCAGTACGCGCCCGACGACTACTCAAACTCTTCCACCCCTGCCAGTATCCCTAGCAGCCGCGGCCCGAAAGTGATAGAGGCATCGTAATCACCACTTTTTATAACGACCTCCGTGGTCTAGTGGTTCGTATGCCGGGTTTCATGGTGTCGCCGACTCGAGAGGTCCCGGGTTCGAATCCCGGTGGGGGCGAATGTTTGTGTGATGAATACGAGCATTTGTACTCGAGTCATGGATGTTCGATTTGTATTTCTATATAAATATACTTATATATGTACAGTATATGTATTTTATCCGTTACCCTAGTACATATCCCATGACATAAACCTTACAGTGCTTAATTTGGGGCTAGGCTAATTGGTGTGAGTGTTGAAAATATTTATTTATTTATTTATGGTAGTCGTTTGTACACAATTTGCATCAACTCACAAAAGCGAGAACAAAAACCATAGTCTACACTCCATCTCTACAACGAAGCGAAGCAAGGGCCGACCGCTAGTATAGTAATCGGCAGGATTATGTTTTGCTATGTCAAGCTGCATACACATATATATATTATTGGCATTAGAAACTGAACACATTACCAAATTAGTCCTTTATGATATTCTTATGTCATTAAATATGATAATTATCTAAAAGCAACCGTTATTGACTAATCCATTAACACATTGCTCAAACCACTGAACAGATTGTGCTAAAGTTTACCACACATACATTTATCTGCTATATTTATGATGCATGCGTGCGCTAGTTGTAATGCTATGCAAATATTTGTAAAAAAAAAATGTGTGCGTGTACTAGTGTACACACGTAAGAAGTGAAACTTCTTTATGGCCTTATTTTTTTCGAAAAATGATCTACATGCAACTTTCCAGAAAAACATATATAGGCGTGCGCTAAGATTTTTCAAAGACTCACCCACTAAAGGGGTATAACTACACCTTACCTTACCTTACCTTACCTTGTGTGAAACACGAATATTTGCTGTCGATACTTTTTTTTTTAAAGTTGACAGTAGAAGCAATTGTTCGGATGAGGTAAATAGTGCTCTTTTAAAAAAAAGATGGCGCGTAACCAAAAAACGTGACGCGTAACCGAATAAAATGTGACGGTAAATTTTTTTCCAACGCCGATAAAGAAGTTTCACTTCAAAAAATACAATATTTCCACTTGTGTAGTTAAATGATAGTTACGTATTAATTATTTTGTTGTACATTGCGAAATTGTTTAAATATTATGTTTTTTTATGTACGAAGCCGAGGCGCAACATAATGTTATTTTATATGTTCTCTTAATGAGCGAATTTTATCTGTTGTACGGGCCGAGCGAATGAAAATAATGAGAGCAAGCGCACATTGAGCCGCTAGTGGCGGCTACAAGCTGCGCTTCAATTTTTTTATACATTTTGTATAAAAAAATTGAAGCTTTTTAATACTAGCGGCGTTTAGCTGCCGCGATTACTGGCTAAATGCGCTCGCTCAAAATAATAGAAAGTCTGCGATTTAAGATCAAGAGCTCGCTAAGAAAATAAGTCTTTGCGAAGGAAATATGTCAATCTATCAAGTATCATGTATCAAGGTGATGGCTGAAACTCGGTATTTTGCCTTAAAACTGGCAAATGTTTTTGCTTTCTTTTGCTTTCTGCAGCATACATATGGATATTTCATAGCTGATTTCTTGTTTTTTTTTTATTGTATTACTCTGTCTGTAAATGTATATGTATGTTGAAGAAAAAATAAACGCATTATCTATCTATCTATCTATGAACAACTGAAATGTACTACACTCCGCGCACTGCGTAAATAAATAGTTTGCAATTTTAAATAGCAGATGCGAAATCGTATGTGTATACTATACTCGTGTGAGCAAGCTCGCACTACGAAAATGAATCGTTGCGAAGAAAATTCGTCAATCTGTGAACAATAGATTCCGATTTAAAATAGCAGATGCGAAATCGTACGTATATATTGAAATGAAATGAAATGAAATGTCATTTATTCAGTCTAGGCTGTTACAAGCACTTGCAAAACTACGGCGGGAGACCTTGTACTGAGAAGAACCGGCAAGAAACTCAGCAAGGGTTGCTTTTTTCTCCCTGTATTGATATATACAGAGTCGTCAAGTTGAAAAATGACTTCAGACATACTTCTGAAGTCACCTTCCATTACATTATTTAGGGTATAGATATATAGTTACAACAAATTTTATATTTAGTATATAGGAAGCCGCATTAGATAGGTACCATATTACTGTTACAAAACTGACTCATACCCATCAAATAAGAAATTACAAGAAACACTATGTCCATGCATTACGATCATTTAGATAATCATTAACTTTATAATAGCCCTTATTCATAAGAGTATTCTTAATCTGAGATTTAAATTTGGTTAGTGGAAGCTCAATCAGATCTTGGGGAACTTTGTTAAACAATGCAATACTACATCCCAGAAATGAACCTCTTGATTTTTGGAGTCTGAAACATGGAACGGCAAGCTTGTTCTTAAATCTCGTGTTAAAGTTATGGGTTTGACTTTTTTTTGCAAATGCGTCATAGTTTCTTCTTACATATATTATATTTTCATAGATGTATTGCGATTTGTGTACTCTATTAAGCGGTACTGGCTTCGCGCATTACGAAAATATCCCTAGCACGAACCAATATCGAATTCGTATCGTTTGCAAACCGAAATGTCAATGTCAAATGTGTACTGATTTTTAGTTCTCGTTACGTACTTTGTGCCGCTGCTGTCCAAGTTTCCATACAAAATTTGACATTGACATTTTGCACTCGCAAACTATTCGAATTCGATAATGGTTCGTGCTAGGGATACTGATTTTTGACGATGGCCGACATAAGTGAGTCGGAATCGCCCGCGCTAGCGATAGCGCTAGCGATGTCAACAATATCGATGCAGACAGGTTATTCAGTGCGCTGGCAAAGAGGTCCCAAATATGGTAAAAACTAAAGAAAAAATTACTAGGATAAAAACACGCCGACCAGACAGTAGACGGGACTCGAACTTGCACCCTTCGCTAACCGGGCGAATACACTGACTGTATGCTACTGCGGCCCTCATACCGTGTCGAATTCTCTCTAGCCTTTCTTAAGCTGCAAGGCAGCGCCATCTCTTCGAATTATATTATATTAATGTTTAATGCGGAGCTCGATGGCGCAAGTGGTTAGCGCGTTCGGCTGCGATCGTTGAAGTTAAGCAAGTTTCGCAGTGGTCGGTCATTGGATGGGTGACCAAAAATTACTATCTCGAGCTCCTCCGTGCTTCGGAAGGCACGTTAAGCCGTTGGTCCCGGCTGCATCTGCAGTCGTTAGCACCCACCAATCCGCACTGGGCCCGCGTGGTAGGTCATGGTCCAATCTCCCTATTCCATCCATAGGGAAGGCCTGTACCCCAGCAGTGGGGACAGTTATAGGCTGATGATGATGATGAATGGTTTAATACTTGTGAAAGAATTCATATGACATTGTGGGTTACCTACAATGCGAAGAAATGGCGTTGCCTTGCAGCTTAAGAAAGGCTGGAGAGAATTCGACACGGTCATGAGGGCCGCGGTAGCATAATAGTCAGTGCATTCGCCCGGATAGCGATGGGTGCAGGTTCGAGTCCCGTCTGCTGCCTTGTCCGCGTGGATTTTTTTTCTAGTAATATTTTCTTTAGATTTCAATATCGAGCAGATATATGCTTAAAAAAAAGTACGTTAAAAACTGTTATTTCGCCGGCGATAATAATATTTGTGAAATCGACGCGCATCGGTATCAGATAAATCGCATCCGTAGCGGGCCTCGATGCCAAGTGAATAATCTTTTATCTATTAGACGAGTCCGTCGTGATGAGTTTGAGGCACTGTTGCTATAGTAATGTTGACAAACACTATATGGCATCGGCATCCAATAACGGTATCCGGTCGCATCGGATGCGCGCATCCAAACATGGCATCGTTATCACGCATCGTTATCGCGCATCGTTATTCTAAAAACGCCCACCCCTACACTTGAATGATATAAACATCTTAATAGAGATATACAATAACCGCAGAATGCCCAGCCAATTGCCATCTATCATACAAAACATCTAATATATAAAATTCTCGTGTCGCGGTGTTTGTGGTTAAACTCCTCCGAAAGGGCTTTCCCTATTCTCATGAAATTTCGTGTGCATATTGGGTAGGTCTGAGAATCGAACAACATCTATTTTTCATCCCCCTAAATGTTAAGGGTAATCCACCCCTCATCATCATCAGCCTATTAATGTCCCCACTGCTGGGGCACAGGCTTCCCTATGGATGGAATAGGGAGATTGGGCCATGACCCACCACGCGGGCCCAGTGCGGGTTGGTGGGTGCTAACGACTGCAGATGCAGCCGGGACCAACGGCTTAACGTGCCCCTCCGAAACACGGAGGAGCACGAGATAGTAAATTATGGTCACCCATCCAATGACCGACCACTGCGAAAGTTGCTTAAATACAACGATCGCTGCGGAACGCGCTAACCACTTGCGCCATCGAGCTCCTAAATTTTTATTTTTCAATTTTAGATTTAATTTTTTTTTTATGTTACATTAAAAAAAAATACATACAACCCTAAATTTTCACCCTTCTACCACCAACCCCTATTTTATGGCGGTACGAAGTTCGCTGGGACAGCTAGTATCCTATATTATTTGAATATGTAATGAATACCTTCGAAGACATTTAAAATGATGAATTTAACTAATGAATGGCCGTAAAAATAAAAAAAAAACAAAAAAAAAATTTAATAAAATCACGGTGTAACTAGTGTAAGCTTATTCCTCGTATTATATTTATAAAGGTTTGTGTTTTTTTGCAATTTACGAAATACGTAAAATAAATTTGTTTAATTCTAATGCTATGATAATGATAAGGACGCGTGTTTATAGAGAGAATGCTAATTGCGATCTGATTTCATGATATAAACTAATACGAGGAAACAATGAGTTGCGAAATTGCTGATGCGTCACCTAATTATAAAAGTATGTTAAATATAATCATAATAATATAGCCTCTTTATTTCCATAATGAACAAGTAATAATAATCATTGAATTATCATCAATACATACATGAAACATATTATAAATTAGATTACATTACAATTAACATCAAGCATTAGATAATTTCGTTTCATGCAAATGTAAAAAATAATAAAATTCATCTTTTAAATAATCTATGTGTACAAATTAAGTGGTTTACAAATCATAAATATTTTAAATAAATATAAATAAATATATTTCCAACACTCACACCAATTAGCCCAGCCCCAAAGTAAGCACTGTAAGGCTTGTGTTATGGGATACTAGGGTAACGGATACAATACATATACTGTACATATATAAGTATATTTTTATTTAGAAATAAATATGAAACATCCATGACTGAAGTACAAATGCTCGTATTCATCAGTCATCACACAAACATCTGCCCCCACCGGGATTCGAAACCGGGACCTCTCGAGTCGGCGACACCATGAAACCCGGCGTACACCACTCGACCACGGAGGTCGTCAAAAAATCAGTTAATAATTTAATGTCATTATGGTCCCCTCAACGAGAAAAGGCCTCTTCCATTTTGCTGCACGTCTGTCTGTCCTTTGCTTTTGCGATCCAATTTTCACCAGCTTTTCTTATTATCTAATTTTGTGTTTTCGCTTGTTGGTCCTTGCCAAGTATTTACTCTCTGTGTCCATTTTCCCTTATCCATTCGTGCAATGTGACCCGCCCATTTCCATTTTAGTTTTAGAGAATGTAGCAAAGCATCTATTATTTTTGTAATTTTGAAGTTATACTTCTTTAGGCGCGTTATGAAAAATGATGAGAGTGAAATTTTAAGATGCGCGCGCATCACTGTAACACAAAATTTTAACAGCATGAAGTTGGTCGCTTTACCAACTTCATGCGTTACTTTTGTGTTTACCGCACATTAAGAAAATCTACCAACAAAATAGAAATAGAATCTCTATGTAGTGGGTGCTAACGACTGCATTGTGAAGGCCTATCAAAAGTATTTTTTAATCTGGAACAACGGAACCAAAGCGCGATTCAGGAGACTACAGCGCCATCTCTTGACCATTGGTGTAGTAGAACCAAAAACCACATCTTTATTTTTTGTAATAAAGTAACAGTTATAGGTATTCATATTTATAATATTTATCCACATGTTTCTAGTTTGTATATTCGGAATACGTGTTTGAGTTTCATACAAGTGCAAATCACATATGTTCTAATAAATTATATTCAGTAGCGATTTTAATTGAATATTTTGATTATTTATTTATTTTTTCAAATTAAAACTGAACTTTATTGACTGTGTCCTTTTCCAGACTTTTTATTAATTTATTGTAATTAATTATTTGCATGCAATTAAAAACTAATTTTAAACGATGCCAAAGAAGGATAACTTCTCACGCGCCTACATAAGTACACGCACCCGTTTTTTTTTATATCTGTTTTCGTTTCTATGTTTTCGTTGTATGTTCAGTGTAATCTCCAACGCTCTCTGGCATACTTGTATGTTGTTTTTGGTGTAGTATTTAAAATATAAACTCGACATATTTGTTTATTTAAATCTCGATTTAAATCGTATAACAACCGTGTACATGTATGCCAATTTTCATCTGAGTCCGCTCAGCCATTTTGCACACAACAAAACACATGCATAGGAATTTTTATTTTTGTATGTTTTATTTTTAGTATCTCTTATCTAATAGACAAGTCCGTCCGTCCGTCCGTGGTGCTGTTTCAGCGGCCAAACCGTAAGAGATAGATATAGAGAATGTTTAAGTTATAAGTTAAGAACAGTCTGATAAGACTACAAACCGGATGTGAGTAACGTAGCACTTCCGGTTTTCGAGAAATCACGTGATTTCTATTTCAAACGAAACCACACTAAATCTCCGAAGTTCTCAATTAATTAAATACATTTTTTTTTTTGGTGAACATTTGGTTCTCTGGTTTGCTAGTTTTTATTAATAGTAGTCATTTATTATTATTAGTATTATTAGCAGTCAACAAAGTTTTATTTTGGTGCTATATGTATGGCCTATATCTTGTCTTTAAAGAGCAATGTAACTTGGTACTGGTGTATGAGTTAACTATTATAAGTCATTATTTTTATTTTTTAAGCAATTAACTGCTAGATGGGTTACTTACAACGCACAGCGATGACACTGCCTTACAGCCTTAAAAATACTAGAGAAAATTCGACACGGACAATTGGGTCGCAGTAGCATAATGGTCTGTGCATCCTCCCGGATAACGGAGGGTGTAAGTTCGAGTCCCGTGTGGATTTTCTTCTAGTAAATTTTTATTTGATCCTGTGAAGCCTGTTATGTCCTAGTATATTTTCTGTTGTGTTTTCATAGGTGGACCCGATATTATTATTTGCAAAGGTTGTGACAGTATAGCAGAGATTGTGTGCTTTCATATTCACTGAACCCCAACTCGTTTTGTGATATGATTTATTGTGTCATGTTATTCTATGTATGCTCAGTAATGGAAAGAAAAATAAATTAAAAATAAAAATAAAAATTAAAAATATTTATTATTTATTAATGTGTTGCATTGCGCAATATAAAGAGAGGTACTTGCAAGCAACGTAAGAACAAGCACGCAGCGTTGTGCCACATGAACGTTTATTTACTCATTTTTATTAAATAATTTTCTTAGAAAACCAACAGCGTTTTTCCGACACAAAATTTACAGCAAATACATTTCTAAAAGTATGGCCAATGACAGGCCTTTTCCTTAACAAAATTAACAATAGGTGACTTATTATTGGGACATCTGTCACTGCTGTCTGTCTCTGAAGCGATCATCAAACAATCCATCCGTTTGTAGTCTTATAAAAGTAGTCGGTATAAATGTCATAAATAAAATGTAATATTTAACATATACACAAGCACATACATACACACATATTGTTTTAAACTTGTACTACCATATGACTCTCGTGATTTGTGTCAGTGTTGGAAGTATTTATTTATATTTATACATGAGTGCTTGTAACAGCCTAGTCTGAATGTTAGATTTTGATTATGATTATTATGATATTTGTAGTTGCACGTTTTCGCGCTGGCCCACGTGATGCGGCGCCCCATCGTGGTATACGGCGTCAACGTGGTCAACTCGTTCCGCGGCGAGGCTCTCGGCTATGCGCGCTTCCAGGGTGAGTACTCGTATCAGTATACAGCATCTGCAACCTTAGATTAAAACGAAAAGGGTAGATACAGTACGGTCATACTTGCATCAAACAAAAACTGATCCCACGGCAGCGCGAACGGGACGGCGAGACCCGCGTCACTGCATTACCGACCCGAACGAAACGGCACGTTAAGTTTCAACGGCAGCGCGAACGAGACGGCGAGATCCGCGTCACTGCATTACCGACCAATCACGCGACCAGTACTCGACGTCACTACCGAATAAGATACAAAACAAACAGCAATTTTTATGAAAAAATATATTTTATAGTACTTACGAATGAAAAGTGATGCCGTGGGTTTTATTTTTAGTTCTTGAGCAATTTGAGCACTTTTTAAAAACACACTTAGGCATTGTTTTATCATATAAACACAAAATATTAGCAATATTTCTTTTTGGCGTTCACATGTACGTCGTTTGCATGTCAAGTTGTGACTAAAGCGATTAGGGTCGTGGACCACAATTCATGCGGATCACTTTTGTGAGGCTAGTGCCGTATCTCTCCTTTTTGTTTTAATCTAAGCCTGCAACCTGTCCAAAAGGTACATTGGACGATCCACGGAGCTCCGTAAGATGATCGCGTAATCAAAAACAGTATAGGGGCGTTATTTAAACATCTCAGTTACCTTTAATGCATATAATGATGTAACGAATGTAATTTTTTGAACATTCGCGAATGCGAATGCGGATGCGAATATCTGGTAGCGCCATTCGCAAATGCGAATGCAGGGATTTTGTTCAAAATTGGGGCCAATGAGAACTACCGTTTTCTGCCTCACCAGGTGGCGCCACTGTTAAATGAGGTCGTAAATTGTAACTTTTAAAGTTTATTGATACGCACATGAAATCAAAGGTTACATTTAGATCATATTTTAAGACAAAAGAACCATATCCTAAACATAATAGGCCATGCCACAGTGACGCCCAGTTCCGTTTTATTCGGAAAAAAATGGGAACATAATCATTTTTCTAAGCTCAAATTTTTAATAACTGACATTCATTGCCACATAACTCATAATGCCATAATTAAACCGAATTGTGACCAATTATTCACAACATTATTTTAATTAGAAATAAACCCGCGTAGTCAACCAACAAGCAATAACATTTGACATTTCGGAGACCTCACGCTACACTAGCGCCTCTAGCGGCGGATTCATACGCGATAGCCCTCATTGCCGAGTTGATATGAACTCATATCGTGTCATTCCGCTCGCGCCGGTCTATTCGTAAACAAAGCAAGTGAATTTTGAGGTTAAGAGTTTGAATAGTGATTTATTAACACGAGTAAATTGAATTCTAGTGAAATATGGAGTTATTTCACACATTGCGATGCTGCACGAGCTAAATGCAAGCTGTGAAACAATGAATATTAAAGGAAAGGAATAACAACTTATTTAAATTGTTTTTTGATGTGTAAAATCTTTCCTCTCGCTTTCCTGCAATTTGTGGGAGTGATTTCGTGAAATGGGACGGAAGTGTGTAACAGGAAGTCGCGAAAGCGCGCACTATTTGATTTGATTTTAGAACATACTAGCTGACCCAGCGAACTTCGTACCGCCCTAAAAATATAGGGGTTGTCCAGCGGACAAAATTGTGAATCTAAACCATTCTCAGATCCCCTTGAACACACACAAAAAATTTCATCAAAATCGGTCCAGTCGTTTAAGAGAAGTTCAGTGACATACACACTCACAGAAGAATTATATATATAAAGATTGTTCAAATGGCTTATTCCTTTTGTAGTAGGTTTAATTTTTTTTTTTACTAATATAAGGTGAGGTTTCAAACGTCTACACATCATACGCTACTACTGTAAGGCTCGCTCGTTTTTTTCTAATATTCATATTCGCAAAACATTCGCAGAGATTTTGCGAATGCGAATATTCAAAAATAAGCGAAAATTCGCGAATTCTAATGCAGATGCGAATATTCGTTACATCACTATGCATACTGTATAAGGACTTAATTAAAACGCATGCGTTAAAAGCTTAAGACAGTTCGAAATGCAAGTTCATAATATTTTACCACTTATTGCTGTATGCGGAAGAATGAAGACCTTATTTCTTTGTCTTTTACGGCGCGCGAGGAAAAGAGGCTTGCTATGTAACGGATCATGCATTTGTGTATCACAAATATTTTGTATTAAATTAAAAAGTGCAAAAGTAAAAACTAGTTTTATATAATGAGTGATGTTTTATCTTAATAACACAGAATTTATGCAATATTGTTATATTGAGTGCACATGCATCGTGTTTGAATGTCCAATTGTGACTCAAGCGAATTGTGATCAAGCACCACAATTTAAGTGGATCACTTTTGAGCCGCGAATGCCGTATGTTCCCTTTTTGTTTAATTCAACAAATATACTGATGGTTGTTTGTGTTAGGGATCTACCTGCCGCTGTTATGGGAGCGCGAGTTCTGCTCGCCGTCGCCGCTATGCCTCGGCTATACGCGCGGCCACTTCAGCGCTCTAGTACCCATGGAGCCCTACCCGCGCGCCTATATATGCAGGTACTAAAGGTTTCCGCGAATGGAATGCTCTGCCCGCTCGCGTGTTCCCTCCCTCTTACAACCTGGGATCCTTTAAAAGAGGCGTGAAGAAGCAACGAGCACCTCGATGGCGCAGGTGGCTAGCGCGTTCGGCTGCGATCGTTGAAGTTAAGCAACTTTCGCAGTGGTCTGTCATTGGATGGGTGATCAAAAATTTACTATCTCGAGCTCCTCCGTGCTTCGGAAGGCACGTTAAGCCGTTGGTCCCGGTTGCATCTGCAGTCGTTAGCACCCACCAATCCGCACTGGGCCCGCGTGGTGGGTCATGGCCCAATCTCCCTATTCCATCCATAGGGAAGGCCTGTGCCCCAGCAGTGGGGACATTAATAGGCTGATGGTAGAACTGCTATCTTCGCGTCTAGACTTCACCTTCACTTAACATCAGGTGGGGTGGAGTAATTTTTCGGACTTATCTATAAAAAAAAACTATCGCGGAATTTAGCGCTCTGTCACGTGACGAACAAAATGCTTTGAACGGTTTTTCTACAGTAGTTTTTACTACGCCCCGCCTTCGCGACGGACTCGCCAATCCGGGCCGCCGCACAAAAGTAAGACAGAGAGCATCTCGTTGATTGAATAGTGAATTGAATTGAATTTGTTTTAGTTGCAATTTGTCATCCGCATCGTGATCGCGACAGCGCTATACTAAAAAGTGAGACAGCGATAATGAGGGCTATCGTTTTTTGGCTCACCAGATGGCGCCACTGTTGAGTGAGGTCCTGAAGTGTAGCTTTTAAAGTTAGTAAACACGCTCGTGATATCAAAGTTTACATTTAAATCATATTTTAATACAAAAGAATCGTATTGTAAACATAATCGCCCATGCCACAGTGTTGCGCAGTCCCGTTTTGTTCGGAATAAAAAAGGACAATATATTTTCTTAGCTCCGCTTTTAAATAACTGACATTCATTGACACGTAACTCATATTTGCCATAATAAGTCTAAGTTATTAGCAAATATTCACAACTATTATTTTAATTAGAAATAAAACCGCGTAGTCGACCCGCAAGCTATAACATTTGACATTTCGGAGACCTCACGCAACACAAGCGCCACTAGCGGCGGTTTCAGACGCGATAGCCCTGATTACATGTCTATGAATGAATTTTTACTACGCCGCTACCGCAAGCGTTTATGGCATTATGGGTGACAGAGCGGGTCTTTCCGCGAGTGTACATGTATCAAACACATAACACTCCGCCATCACCACCACGGAGCTCATCGATACATACAAACATTTATCTGGTCTAGTGTTGCCGAACTATCGATATGAAAACTATCGACAGTTTACATAGAAAATCATGTACCCTATCGATAGAATCGATACAATCGATAGTATCGAAACTATCGATAGCACAGAACAAGGCAATACTATCGAATGAGTGCAATAGTATCGATACTATTGTAGTTCGTTAATAACAAACTATTGATAGTCTCGATACTATCGATACCGTTGATTTTATCTGCAACAATACTATCGATCCAACCCGGACTATATTTATATATGTACAATGTGTCAGGCTCATAGCATGACAGATCATAATGGACAATATCTCGCCAGTATGGCTCATAATCATCCTCCAACACATTAGGTTGATGATGACGATGTATTGCAGAGAGCAACAAGAGGAGAGCGAGGAGATGACGTTCCTGCCGCTGACGGACTGCGAGGGGAAGCTGCTGCCCGTACACTTCCTCACCTGCGACGAGGTAACTTATCAAATAAATAAAAAAAATGTGTGCGTGTACTAGTGTACACACGTAAGAAGTGAAACTTCTTTATGGCCTTATTTTTTTCGAAAAATGATCTACATGCAACTTTCCAGAAATATATATATAGGCGTGCGCTAAGATTTTTCAAAAACTCACCCACTAAAGGGGTATAACTACACCTTACCTTACCTTACCTTACCTTACCTTACCTTACCTTACCTTACCTTACCTTACCTTACCTTACCTTACCTTACCTTACCTTACCTTACCTTACCTTGTGTGAAACACGAATATTTGCTGTCGATACTTTTTTTTTTAAAGTTGACAGAAGAAGCAATTGTTCGGATGAGGTAAATAGTGCTCTTTTAAAAAAAAGATGGCGCGTAACCAAAAAACGTGACGCGTAACCGAAAAAAAATGTGACGGTAATTTTTTTTCCAACGCCGATAAAGAAGTTTCACTTCAATAAAATAATAAATATTTCTGACACACACAAATTAGTCTTATACACAGTCAGGTCATAAGTACTGTCACACAGTAAAAACTTTTCTTTTAGAATGCTGAAAACAAAAATGTATACTTTTTAGAATTTTACTTATTTTTAAATATGGAGTGGACGCTTTAAGAGGACCGTGTTGCAGTTATTGCGTTGCATCGTTGCAGTTACGCGCCAATTCAAATTTTTGACATACTGAAAATTTTGAATATAACCAAAAGATTCGTTTATCGTACCATCAAACGATACAATGAAGACTCTAGTATAGATGACAGGTCAAGAAGTGGTCGCCCTCGGTCTGTTAGGACTCCAGCAGTGATATAAAAGCTGTGAAGGCGCGAATTCAAAGAAATCCCAAGCGTAAGCAGAAACTGTTGGCCCTTCAGATGGGGTTAAGCAGAACCACGGTGAAAAGGGTGTTAAATGAAGACTTAGGGCTTCGGGCATATCGAAGAAAAACAGGACATCGTTAATGCTCGTCTAATGGACCTGGGACTGAAGAGATGCCGCGCTTTGTCGAAGCGGTACGCGGGAAAAAAATATCAGGAAATTCTTTTTTCGGATGAAAAAACTTTTACCGTAGAAGAGAGCTACAACAAACAAAATGATAAGGTGTATGCACACAGTAATGAAGAAGCGAGCAACCGTATTCCGCGTGTCCAACGAGGTCATTTTCCATCCTCGCTCATGGTATGGTTGGGAGTTTCTTATTGGGGCTTAACAGAAGTACATTTTTGTGAGAAAGGTGTAAAAACGAATGCAGTTGTGTATCAAAATACAGTCCTGACGAACCTTGTGGAACCTGTTTCTCATACCATGTTCAATAACAGGCACTGGGTATTCCAACAAGATTCGGCGCCAGCTCATAGAGCGAAGAGCACACAAGACTGGCTAACGGCGCGTGAAATCGACTTCATCCGGTACGAAGACTGGCCCTCCTCCAGTCCAGTCCTCCAGGCCAGATTTGAGTCCGTTAGATTACAAGATATATCAACACTTGGAGGAAAAGGCGTGCTCAAAGCCTCATTCCAATTTGGAGTCACTCAAGACATCCTTGATTAAGACAGCCGCCGATATTGACATGGACCTCGTTCGTGCTGCGATAGACGACTGGCCGCGCTGATTGAAGGCCTGTATTCAAAATCACGGAGGTCATTTTGAATAAACTTTATTGTCATAAGAATCTATGTTTTGTTAAGTTCATTTTGGTATATAAATGGTTACATAATGAACAAACTTGTTTCAATTATTTTATATTAAACATGTGACAGAATTTATGACCTGACTAGGTACACATATTAAGATTTTTCTAGACTCTAGGTTTCAGGCAGGACTCAAATTTGCGTGTTTGGCTGTCCGGGCGGATGCACTATCCAATAGCATTTGTGGTCGTTCCTATAATAAATAAATGTTATTATAAATGTACATACATAAATTTGTATTGTGTGTAGCGTGAGGCGGGTCGTTGCGTTCCCTAAAATATGGTTGAGCGAAGCGACGGCTGGAAATCATGTCATGCTCGTGAACGGGTGCTGCCAGCGGAGATGAGTCTGCTCTATACCACTTTATTATTCTAATGATAATTAATTACTTAATTTAGTTTGCACAATTTGTATTTATACTGCGTAACACAGCAATCAAAAAGTAGGTGAACATTTATTATTTCTCTGATAAAGATTTAATGGCGATGTGGATTCTGTCATGGTTCTCTAGACCTGAACTTTGGTGTTGCAACGGTGTATCCTTTTATTCTCTATACAGATTGTAAAGGGGGGGCACTGTTATTGGATTTGGTTTTGAGTTTTCGTATGCAAAAGAAAAAAAAATGGAAAGGTTGGGGTTTAGAGTTTATAGTACAGGATTACTTATCTCTCATGGCAGGTTCCACTCAGCTGATAAGGTACCGGGATAGACTCTGGGTTGCAGCAATGAACTTTCGGAGTACAAAGGCTGTAGCTTGGGAAACAAATCAAAGATGGTGATTTTCGGTACATGCAATTTATGTTGAATGATCTCGCGTGTTACATGGCGGGGGCCCGCAGTGCGACAATGAATCTTATCAAATAATTCTAATAATGTTAAGTAAATAATAGACTGTCTCTGGGCGACTGTCTCAGGACGCGTTAAGTAGGACAGTAGTGCAACGGTAAAGGATCAAGAATCATCGATTTATCGATTGATACTTCAAATCCGAAATCGAACTTCTAGCAATGTACTGGTATATAATTTATTTACCAAAAAAGAGTGCTTTCTTTGTTTACCAGTAACATTCGTAATTAATAATCAATGAGCAATCGAATGCCAATGTTTAAGAGTATTTAATTAATAACAAATCAGAATTAAAAACAGGTCTAATATCTGAAATCTACTTAGTCAGGGTCTATTTGGCCATGGGCAAATTGGGCATGGCCATCTTGATTTTCAAGCAAATAGTAGCTTTTAGGGATATAGGTTGAATATATTTTTATCCCGGAATTCCCAAGGAAATGGGAACTTCGCGGAAAAAAACCGCGGTGCGCAGCTAGTAATAGTATATTAGAGCAAATTTGCTGAATATATTTTGAACCCCTGTATCACCCAATTCACGGTGGAATATTAAAAAATTCTTTCACGCTTGATGCTTGCGTAATTTACTAAATATTATCTCTCTACGATCAAAAGTGTAGGCTTGCGTTGACGTACTATTCTAAAACTTCAACATGCTATATCTTTGTTTTGTGAGGGTAGTTTTGAAAAATGAAAACACAGATAGCGTTTTTATTTTATTCAGAGTAGGTATTCAAAATTTTAATCAATCCTATACACTTATGGATGATCTCCTATACAAAATTTTAATTTATTTTGAATATTTTTGAGGGTAGTTGTAAAAATTTTATGTAACAGGCTTAGTGTACTCTATATCAAATCAGAAATCAATATATCTTTATTCAAATTGGATGTATAGTACAACACTTTTGAATCGTCCAAACATTTTTTTCCCTACCACTCGTTATTGGACATATTTTTTAGCTGCGGAGAAAAACGAGCGAAAAGAAAAATATTGGTGTCAATTCTGACATGATTCTCTAAACCTAAAATTAAATTTATCAACAGTGTATCCTTGTCATTCTCTATACAGAATGAAAAGGAGAGTTTGATGTTAAATTTAGTTTTAAGTTTAGAGAATCACGCCAGAATCGCCACCAATTTCTATGTAAAATTTACAGTCTATAATAATCTATAATATAACTAGCTGACCCAGCGAACTTCGTACCGCCCTAAAAAAATAGGGGTTGTCCAGCGGACAAAATTGTGAATCTAAACCATTCTCAGATCCCCTTGAACACACACAAAAATTTTCATCAAAATCGGTCCTGTCGTTTAAGAGAAGTTCAGTGACATACACACTCACAGAAGAATTATATATATAAAGATAGATAAGATTTTACGAACAAATGTTTATAGCAAATTTCACACTTCTCTTCTCTCTTCTTTTCTCTTCTCGCGCCATCAACCTTCTCTGCGCCATCGACCTCCTTAACTAAGAATTTATTATAACAATGCGTGTTGTTATCAGATGTCAGACGAGGAGGGAGTAGTCCGGCGCTGGCTGTCCGCTTGCGTTACGAGCGGCGGCGTGCTGGCGGCCACGCAGCGGCTGCACCCGCGGCCCCTGCTGCAGGCGCAGATGTTGGAGGAGTGGCTCAACCACTACCGCCGGCTGCAGTCAGTATATATACACATATATATATATATACACTCCTGATGGTGACGCGTCACGAGCGGCGGCGTGCTGGCGGCCACGCAGCGGCTGCACCCGCGGCCCCTGCTGCAGGCGCAGATGTTGGAGGAGTGGCTCAACCACTACCGCCGGCTGCAGTCAGTATATATACACATATATATATATATACACTCCTGATGGTGACGCGTCACGAGCGGCGGCGTGCTGGCGGCCACGCAGCGGCTGCACCCGCGGCCCCTGCTGCAGGCGCAGATGTTGGAGGAGTGGCTCAACCACTACCGCCGGCTGCAGTCAGTATATATACACATATATATATATATACACTCCTGATGGTGACGCGTCACGAGCGGCGGCGTGCTGGCGGCCACGCAGCGGCTGCACCCGCGGCCCCTGCTGCAGGCGCAGATGTTGGAGGAGTGGCTCAACCACTACCGCCGGCTGCAGTCAGTATATATACACATATATATATATATACACTCCTGATGGTGACGCGTCACGAGCGGCGGCGTGCTGGCGGCCACGCAGCGGCTGCACCCGCGGCCCCTGCTGCAGGCGCAGATGTTGGAGGAGTGGCTCAACCACTACCGCCGGCTGCAGTCAGTATATATACACATATATATATATATACACTCCTGATGGTGACGCGTCACGAGCGGCGGCGTGCTGGCGGCCACGCAGCGGCTGCACCCGCGGCCCCTGCTGCAGGCGCAGATGTTGGAGGAGTGGCTCAACCACTACCGCCGGCTGCAGTCAGTATATATACACATATATATATATATACACTCCTGATGGTGACGCGTCACGAGCGGCGGCGTGCTGGCGGCCACGCAGCGGCTGCACCCGCGGCCCCTGCTGCAGGCGCAGATGTTGGAGGAGTGGCTCAACCACTACCGCCGGCTGCAGTCAGTATATATACACATATATATATATATACACTCCTGATGGTGACGCGTCACGAGCGGCGGCGTGCTGGCGGCCACGCAGCGGCTGCACCCGCGGCCCCTGCTGCAGGCGCAGATGTTGGAGGAGTGGCTCAACCACTACCGCCGGCTGCAGTCAGTATATATACACATATATATATATATACACTCCTGATGGTGACGCGTCACGAGCGGCGGCGTGCTGGCGGCCACGCAGCGGCTGCACCCGCGGCCCCTGCTGCAGGCGCAGATGTTGGAGGAGTGGCTCAACCACTACCGCCGGCTGCAGTCAGTATATATACACATATATATATATATACACTCCTGATGGTGACGCGTCACGAGCGGCGGCGTGCTGGCGGCCACGCAGCGGCTGCACCCGCGGCCCCTGCTGCAGGCGCAGATGTTGGAGGAGTGGCTCAACCACTACCGCCGGCTGCAGTCAGTATATATACACATATATATATATATACACTCCTGATGGTGACGCGTCACGAGCGGCGGCGTGCTGGCGGCCACGCAGCGGCTGCACCCGCGGCCCCTGCTGCAGGCGCAGATGTTGGAGGAGTGGCTCAACCACTACCGCCGGCTGCAGTCAGTATATATACACATATATATATATATACACTCCTGATGGTGACGCGTCACGAGCGGCGGCGTGCTGGCGGCCACGCAGCGGCTGCACCCGCGGCCCCTGCTGCAGGCGCAGATGTTGGAGGAGTGGCTCAACCACTACCGCCGGCTGCAGTCAGTATATATACACATATATATATATATACACTCCTGATGGTGACGCGTCACGAGCGGCGGCGTGCTGGCGGCCACGCAGCGGCTGCACCCGCGGCCCCTGCTGCAGGCGCAGATGTTGGAGGAGTGGCTCAACCACTACCGCCGGCTGCAGTCAGTATATATACACATATATATATATATACACTCCTGATGGTGACGCGTCACGAGCGGCGGCGTGCTGGCGGCCACGCAGCGGCTGCACCCGCGGCCCCTGCTGCAGGCGCAGATGTTGGAGGAGTGGCTCAACCACTACCGCCGGCTGCAGTCAGTATATATACACATATATATATATATACACTCCTGATGGTGACGCGTCACGAGCGGCGGCGTGCTGGCGGCCACGCAGCGGCTGCACCCGCGGCCCCTGCTGCAGGCGCAGATGTTGGAGGAGTGGCTCAACCACTACCGCCGGCTGCAGTCAGTATATATATATATATCTACTATATAAAAATAAGTCGGGTTTTCCTTCCTGACGCTATAACTCCAGAACGCACGAACCGATTTCCACGGTTTTGCATTCGTTGGAAAGGTCTCAGGCTCCGTGAGGTTTATAGCAAAGAAAATTCAGGAAAAATTAAAAAAAGAAAAATTTTTTAGTCACCAAACGAAATGTTACATAAAACGAAGCCGTCTGGTAGCGAAACGGAGTTCGCGGGGTTTGCTAGTCTTTATATATATAATTCTTCTGTGAGTGTGTATGTCACTGAACTTCTCTTAAACGACTGGACCGATTGTGATGAAATTTTTTGTGTGTGTTCAAGGGGATCTGAGAATGGTTTAGATTCACAAAGACGTGTAGACAGGACAACGTCTGTCGGGTCCGCTAGTATATATATATAATTCTTCTGTGAGTGTGTATGTCACTGAACTTCTCTTAAACGACTGGACCGATTATGATGATATTTTTTGTGTGTGTTCAAGGGGATCTGAGAATGGTTTAGATTCACAATTTTGTCCGCTGGACAACCCCTATTTTTTTAGGGCGGTACGAAGTTCGCTGGGTCAGCTAGTGTATATATAAAACTAGCAAACCAGTGAACCAAACGTTCACCTAAAAAAAAAAAAATAGTATTTAATTAATTAAGAACTTCGGAAATTTTGTGTGGTTTCGTTTGAAATAGATATCACGTGATTTCTCGAAAACCGGAAGTGGTACGTTACTCACATCCGGTTTGTAGTCTTATCAGACTATTCTTAACTTATAACTTAAACATTCTCTTTATCTATCTCTTACGGTTTGGCCGCTGAAACGGCACCACGGATGGACGGACGGACTTGTCTATTAGATAAGAGATTCTCGTGTCGCAGTGTTTGTGGTTAAACTCCTCTAGCTAGTGGTTAACCAAATTAGATACCCTCTTAGATTAAAACAAAAAGGGAAGATACGGCACTCGCGGCTCAAAAGTGATCTGCTTAAATTGTGGTGCATGACCACGCTTCGCGCAAAACTGACAAAAAAACATATACTGTACATAGATAAGTATATTTATATAGAAATACATATTAAACATCCATGACTGGAGTACAAATTCTCTCGGACTCGTATTCATCACACAAACATCTGCCCCCACCGGGATTCGAACCCGGGAACTCTCGAGTCGGCGACAACATGAAACCCGGCGTAGGAACCACTCGACCACGGATGTCGTCAACCAACAATATTGTGTATATTCTGTGTTTTAAAGATAAAGCTATGCCTTCGATGATTTTATAAAAATTACTTTTATTTCAAGACGAAGTAACATATTTCAAGGCCACACTTTTCATTAGAAAAACTATGAAAACTTTTTTTTCTCGAAAGTCACGGGTTGTCGTGAATGTAATTTCACTTTATTGCCATTTGTTATCAAGAAAAGGGCAACAATACAGCTCAGCCGTTTGTAAAGAGAGAAATGAAGCCAAGCGACGCGGAGTCGCCGTTTCACTCGCGCTGCGTTGAAGCATACAGTTCTGTCTCGCTCAGGTATATTACCCTAGCGTAACAATTTCATAAGTCCATATCCTAAGGTACATGGTATTTTGTTGCTAATTTGTTGCTATTTTGTGCCGCAAGAATTGATTTTGTTGCTCCAAGATTTCTCCGAAAAACACCTGTTACGCTAGCGAAACCACAGCGATATCTCGGAGGCAAAAGCAGTAAGAGATATCAGATGAACGGCATATTTTGTTGCTATTTTGTTGCTGTAAGATAAGCTGGTTAGGTATGAAAAAATATAAGCCCTTCATGGGGGGCTAACTACCCTTATTCTTAGATATCTCAGATTTTTCGTATCTCGTGAACTAAAGCAGCTGGCGACACGAGACAAACGGTGTATTTTGTTGCTATAAGATAGGCATGCTGCGTACATCATAATCACAACCCTTATCGGGGTATGACCAACCCCCGACCCCGAAACAACAAATATAGCAACAAATTAGCAACAAAATACTATATACCTTAGGATATGGACTTATGAAATTGTTACGCTAGGGTAATATACCTGTCACGCTCGCTCGATTGAATGTTTATTTACAGAAGTGCGCGTGTGTAAGGTTTGCTCATGTAGTTGAATCGGAGCATATTTTTTTTGATGCTAGTATGGGCGTACCGTATCATCCCTTTTTATTTTAATCTAAGCATACAACGCAATGATATTAAATACCCTAGATACACCAACACGAACAAAATCGTGCCCAAAAGCTGTCCAAAAGGTACATTGAACGATCCACGGAGCTCTGTAAGATGATCGTGTAGTCAAAATCAACATAAGGCATTATTTAAATATTGAAAGTAACCTTCAATACATACTGTATAAGGTTTTAAATAAAACGCATGCGTCAAGGACTCCTGATAGTTCGAAATGTAAGCCCGTAAAATTTTGCAAGTTATTGCTATACGCGGAAGAATTTAGACCTTAGTTCTTTGACTCTAAGCGCAATTCTGCACGCGCTGTTAGCAATATAGCAGGCACGGACCGCGAGGAAAAGAGACGGCTATATAGCTACGTATAAGCTTTTTCTCTTTCCTGGTATCAGTAATACACTTATGCATGCATATACACAGTAATGTCACTCTTGTGGCGTTGTAATTGAGTACATTTTTGCAATTGCCATTAATGCATGTTGATTTACGATACAGATATTTTGTATTCATTTCTGTTTGTTTTTGTATTAATTGTATATTGTATCAAAACGTCATCCATGCAAAACTTTCAATATTTTCCCTAATGTTTTTCTATTTCTCATAAGGAATGGTTTAAAAAAATACTCAACAATACTTTTAGATGGAAACGTGTCCTAAGGTGCATTGTATGATAACGGAGCTCCATAAGATGATCGCGTGGTCTAAAACGATATAAGGAATATTTAAACATTGAAAGTCACCCTTAATGCATACTGCATAAGGTCCTAATTAAAACGCATGCATCGAAGACTTCTGACAGTCCGAAATGCGAGCTCGTAAAATTTTAGCGGAAGAATATAGATCTCATTCTTTTGACTCTACGCGCAATTCTGAACGCGCTGTTAGCAATATAGCAAGTACTGACCGCGAGGAAAAGAGACGGCTATACGGCGACGTATAACCGACCACGCATTTGAATATTACAAATATTATATATTAAATCAGTTTATAGTAAGTATTATATCAAAATTTACATCAAATGCGTTAAATGAACAGACATTGACTAGATACCTGTCGAAAAAACGACACTTTTCGTACTCCAAGTATTATTTTCGCATTTTTTCGCGGAGCTCTGTGACTTTGTAACGGTCCGCGCGTGACTGTGAACCAAGAAGTGCTCGAGTGGAGTTCAAGCACTTCTTGATTAGGACACATTTTGAGGGCTCGTGGTGTATCTAGGGTATTTAATATCGTTGATACAATGTATGAATAAAAGTTGTAAGTTTTCCGAAGAAATAAAATATGATAACGTTTTCCGGGGGGCAGGCAGCAGACGCGTGGCCCATTTCCGCCGCGGCTGCAGCGCGCCGCTCCCGACTATTCCAGTGGGCCCGACACCGACGACGATTGACTGCCCTGTGCCCCATGCCCCGTGCACCGTGCCCCGTGTCCTACACTACACTACATTACACAGCACTTGCCCGCACTCGCGCCACATCTTCCCTTACAAAACAACTTCAAAGAAACTACTTTTAAATTGTAAGCTAATTGCCGCCTTATTTCAAAACGTTACCAAAATTTAAATAAATGCTTGCAAGTGTTCAGCGCTTGTCGTGGCAGTTTCTAATCATGGCCACACTACAATTTTTAATGTCCAACCGTGTAATTTTAACATGTTTTAGTCTTGGACGTCTCGTAAACTGTCCTTAAATAAATAAATAAAAAAACGTTTGATTCCGGTTCCGGTCGGGCGCATGTGTACGGTTTCCTGATCAGGGGGCCATTCGCCTAAGGGAAATGCTTTTAAAAACGCTTACGATTTCATTTTGTTATTTCTAGCCGCGTGAGGTTTTCGAATGCCTCGCGCTCTTTTTGTTTCCTTTTGCATTGGTAATAACAATATTTAAAAAAATGAACGCGAGGTACTTGAAAACCTTCGACGGTCAGAATTAAAAATAAAAATGTGTGCGTGTACTAGTGTACACACGTAAGAAGTGAAACTTCTTTATGGCCTTACTTTTTTCGAAAAATGATCTACATGCAACTTTCCAGAAATATATATATAGGCGTGCGCTAAGATTTTTCAAAAACTCACCCAGTAAAGGGGTATAACTACACCTTACCTTACCTTACCTTACCTTACCTTACCTTACCTTACCTTACCTTACCTTACCTTACCTTACCTTACCTTACCTTACCTTACCTTACCTTACCTTACCTTGTGTGAAACACGAATATTTGCTGTCGATACTTTTTCTTTTTAAAGTTGACAGAAGAAGCAGTTGTTCGGATGAGGTAAATAGTGCTCTTTTAAAAAAAAGATGGCGCGTAACCAAAAAACGTGACGCGTAACCGAAAAAAATGTGACGGTAAATTTTTTTCCAACGCCGATAAAGAAGTTTCACTTCAAAATAAAATGGAAAGCGTTAGCTTTTTCCTAAAGCATTTCCGTTAGGCGAATGGCCCCCAGCAGTTCCGATTCGGAGACATGAATGCTGGCCCCACTCTTCCCATTTTTTAGAATGGAAAAGTAACTAACTATATTTTCGAAAAATGTCTATAAAAATAAGCGGACGTCAGCTGTTTAGGTCACGGAATTCCTGATCAGGACACCGTACAAATCGGTGTGCGCCCATCCTAAACTTGTCTAAAACTAATACTGCTGTCATATTTTTTTGCTTCAAAAAAACAACAACAGCTTTGCGTTTAAACCGAGACTTACTTTTATCTGCGTTTTGGAATAAAGCGAAGGGCTAAGTTAAAAATAAAAAATAATTCTTTCGTATATTCTTATTCTACACTCAACTAATAAAATAGCATTTCGATTTGGATTTTATACAATGCTTGACATGAAGTTTTGGAACCGTTTCTAACGTAAACGCTGACGAGAGTAGATCTACTTCAATGATAAAGTCTTGCAAACCATAGAATTCTGAAAAAGGTTGGAAAATACCATTGCGATAAAATCACATGCTTCATAACACGATTGACGATTAGTTGTCAGAGATTTGAATTGAATTAAATGCTTGTTACGATGACGTATTGTATTATCCCATTGGCATAACAATGAAAATTGAAACGGCATTCGGTAACTTTAAAATTAAATATTATAATTAATCTCTAAGTTGAACTGTAAGCATTGTATTAAAACATTAGACTTAAGTTGTTTCATAATTAGAGCTCAAAATCACGTAACGAATGATAAAATTGTAGTGCGATGCGTGCAAGTGCTTGTGTCGACGTAACTTTAACTTGAACTTTAACTTTAACTCGTTCGCGGTTTAGTTGTTAACACAAACCGACCGACAAAATCGTCGTAATTGTAGCTGTAAGTAAGCTTTGCTCATTGGGAGGAGTGGATCGTTTATTTTAAATTTGAATTTACTTGTACTAGTAGCACTTATTGAATTGCAATGATATATATATTTTTAATAAATCCCTTAGTATATATACAGGCTGTGACAAAAGTCCGAAATAAAACTTGAGGGTTTGGTTGTGTTGCTTGTATAGAATTACCTACGAAAGTTTGACGCCTTTCAGACCACTTTTATTTTCTAATTAAATTAATAAAAATATCGTTTTACACCTGCCTATGACAACCCTATAAATGCGTACGATTACTACTATCTAAACAGACCCCCCTCTCTCCCCCAGGCGCCCCTGCGCCTCGCTCAGATACCTACAAATTTCTATTTCGGAATACATACCTACAAATTTTATTTCGGAATTCTGTAACACCCTGTATATATAAATATGCGGCAACATCGAGGCGAGACTGCGAGAGTGGTTAGGTGGTGGTAGTGTCGGTCTTTCTGTTTCGCTTCGACAGAGCCGTGCATGATGCTATTTTAGTATAATATATATATATATATATATATATATATATATATATATATATATATATATATATTAGGCGTCGCCCGCCGCCTTAACCAGGGCATGAAGCGGATGCTTCGTACAAAAATTAATTACTTCACTTTAGATGGATTGCTTAATTTTTATATATTTAACGGTACAAGTATCTATGTTAAAGGTTTCAAAATGTGAAAAATAACAACACGCGATTCCATTGTTCAAATTGTGTTCAATCTATTTTCTCTTTCCTGGTATCAGTAATACACTTATGCATGCATATACACAGTAATGTCACTCTTGTGGCGTTGTAATTGAGTACATTTTTGCAATTGCCATTAATGCATGTTGATTTACGATACAGATATTTTGTATTCATCATCCATGCAACACTTTCAATATTTTCACTAATGTTTTTCTATTTCTCATAAGGAATGGTTTAAAAAAATACTCAACAATACTTTTAGATGGTTCGAAGATTTTAATGTGTTTTGTTCATATTGATTAAAATGTTTGATAAAACCACATTAATGTCTACTCAACTACAGAAGTTTAAACATATTCCTCATGTTTGGATACAGAGAGGAAAGCAGCCAATGAGAAATTTAATTAATTACAAATGCTACCTAGAAAAATAAATCAATCTTAAATATATCCGCAATCAAACTTAGAAATTCTAAATATGTACAAAAAATTACACTCGCTCCGCGTTTGAGACGGAATTCAGAGCTGCACCCTCCCCGTGGATTGCAGAAGATGAGGGTTCGCATCCCCCATGAAACCTGGAGTGAGTGAAATTTTTTCTAGTAATTTCTTTCTTTAAATGATTAAAATACAAATATAAATACCTACAAAGTACACCCACGGCCGTACTCAGAGATGCGTAAATGTAATGCTTGTCAAAATGACGTGTTTCTTTTTAAATTATTCTGGCCTGGAGACTGAGTCCTTAAGCCGACAGTGACGTGTTGTCTCAATGAGGGCTACCGTTTTCTGCCTCACCAGATGGCGCCACTGTTGAGTGAGGTCCTAAATTGTAACTTTTAAAGTTTATTAATACGCACATGAAATCAAAGGTTACATTTAGATCGTATTTTAACACAACACAACCATATCCTAAACACAATAGGCCATGCCACAGTGACGCCCAGTTCCGTTTTATTCGGAAAAAATGGGAACATAATCATTTTTCTAAGCTCAAATTTTTAATAACTGACATTCATTGCCACATAACTCATATTTGCTATAATTAAGCCGAATTGTTACCAATTATTCACAACATTATTTTAATCAGAAATAAACCCGCGTAGTCAACCAACAAGCAATGACATTTGACATTTCGGAGACCTCACGCTACACTAGCGCCTCTAGCGGCGGATTCGTACGCGATAGCCCTCATTGGAGTCGCTCTAAGTTGCTACGTCTCTGAGTGAGGCCATTTATGCGTTACGCACTGTAAGGTTCACATAAAAATATAATTATCAATTCAATGTTTCGAATTAGAAATTTGTTAAGTGTTTAACTTGCGACAGCTCTGTTAAGTGTTGGCATTATTCAAACTGTCTTCATATTGGTTATTGAAGATAAATAGAAGGAGACAGACGCTCCACGACACTCTGCTGTTGTTCTGAATATACGAACATTAAGATGATTCGAATATGATACTAAAAGAATATATTTATTGGGCATTAAATAGTGCAATTGGATGTAGATTCTTCTTTAATAAAAAAAAATATTAGCAGATTTGTAAGATTGTTTCGAAATAACTCGATTATGTAGGGTGTAATGCGTATAGAGATACGTTTAGAGTAGTTCCCAGGGTCCCAGGTCCCCAGGGTCCCAGGTCCCCGGTATCGCTAGAACAGAAGGCGCGGAGCATTGCCCGACAGAAGCGAGTTTCAAATTATATGTGACCGATGGTGTGAATAACAGAGTCTATTAAAACGTTTAACTACCGTGTACAGAGAGTTTTAAGGTTCTAATATTTATTATTATTATTATTATATATATAGTTTCTGTTGTAAATAGATCTAAGTCGGTTCGCGAGGTAGTTCTCTAGGTGTATAAATAACGCTGTTAGCTAGGGTTTGCTCGCTGTCACGTTTAGTGCTAGAAAAATTCGCTGTTCGTTCCTTCTCAACTTGGATGTTGCGGGATACCGGTTCCGTGGTCCAGTGCGAAATTATAATGTAGTTGATTCCTACTGAAAGTCAGATCTTAAATTTATTTTGTAAGTAGTGATTTAATATTATTGTAATTTTTAGTCACCGTAAGCATGAGCCGGCAGTTATTAACGTTACACAAAGTTTATTTGTTAAAAACTATTGCTAAGTTAATATGTACCTAATTATTAAAAAAAAAATGTGTGTGTCAGCTCCGACGCACGACTGGAGTTTACTCCTTAAGTTCGATAGTCTAACCAGACGCAAAAAGAGTTTATTTAACTTAAAAAAGATTGATACTGTATGAAAGGGTAAATTAACAAATTAATGAAAATAATATACATATATAAATATGTATTTATTCATTTCATATACATTTATTATAACTAATCGACGAAATATTTTACATTAAACTTTTTACAATAGTCAATTTCAGATGTGCATAAATATATCATTAGGAATGTTGATAAATAATGTAATCATTATTATCAGACTATTATCATTTTTTTAAATATTAGTTAAATCAACATTTTCTGCATTATTAATTACAGTGACAAGTGGTTTATGGTAACTAAAATAAGACACGTGGACGTTCGTCGATACGTGGTTCACGAATCTTGAAAATACCGCATCAATGGTTGTACCATACCTCGTTGTCCCCATTGCTCTATCAGAAACAATATCTAAATTCAGTTCAGATTTTAAAAATTTTATTAACGTCAATCCGTCATCTTTGTTTGTCAAAGTTGCGCGACATAGGATGCACACCAAAAACGTAACGAGGTCATTCATCGATAGATTTCACTCGTCACATTTTTCTCATACCGGGCCCCTTATATATGCAAATCGATTCTTAAGGAGTAAACTCCAATAATATGATACTCACTTTGCCTACAGAGATCGCAGGACAGTGTTGCGGATATTGTTAATTGTGATCACCTTGATGTATTAATTTATTAGTACTACCGAGCGGTGGCGGACTAAGCCAATCGGAGGCCCGGGGCGGCAAAGCAGAAATAGGTCCCCAGCTTTAAATAAAGTAGTTTACTATAGTTATAATTTTTGTTATTTTAAAGCATGTAACTGCTTGATGTTTCAATCTAAAGAAAATATAACTAGAAAAAATTCTACGCGGACCAGGCAGCAGACGGGACTCGAACCCGCACCCTTCGCAATCCGGGCTTTTTCTTCTTTCAAATGCTATTTCTTCTTTCAAATGTTTAATACTTGTAAAAGTATTCATTTGACATTGTGGGTTACCTATAATGCGAAGAGATGGCGCTGCCTTGCAGCTTAAGAATGGCTAGAAGAATTTCGACGCGGTCTGTGACGGCCGCGGTAGCATAATTGGTCAGTGCATTCGCCCGGATTGCGAAGGGTGCGGGTTCGAGTCCCGTCTGCTGCCTGGTCCGCGTAGAATTTTTTCTAATTATATTTTCTTTAGTAGTTTACTATGTTTATTTCGTTAAATCTGGCAAGTGAAATTTAAATAAGAATTAAATTATTTCGGCAAAATAAACATACATACCTACAATATGGAATGGCTATGGGTAGGAAAATCAAATACGAATCATCGACAAAAACAAAATACTAAACTAAATCAAAGATTTTTTTTTTTTAATTTTTGGTAGCGTTTATATGAGTTTGCGTGCCTTCAATTTACTGAACTCTGGCCGCGGTAGCATAATTGATCAGTGCATTCGTCCGGATTGCGAAGGGTGCGGGTTCGAGGCCCGTCTGCTGCCTGGTCCGCATGGAATTTTTTCAAGTTATATTTTCTTAACATTTTTAAAGTTATGTTTAGGTTCTGATCAGGGGAATTCGGAGACATTTGGAGGCCCCCCAAGATCGGAAGCCCGGGGCGGGCCGCCCCTTCCGCCCCCCTGTTAGTCCGCCACTGCTACCGAGATAGCAGTGTTACATTGTTTTAAAAATTCTAATATAAAAAAAACGAGGTAAATATTTTGTTATTTTTTTTTCTCTAAAATTTTGTAAATATTTTTCACCATCATCAGATCTTGTTTGTAATAACACAAACTGTGTACCTATTGTCTACTAATTTTAATCAATATAAAGCACTTATTTTATGAAGCTGTTCAATTGTGTTTTATTTAATACCCTCAACGTATTTTACTTGGCTGGGGTAGAGACCTACCCCAAGTTCACTTCGAATTGTTATTCTAAGCCGTCCAATGTAATACTATAATAGTCAATAAAAAAATAAAACAATCAGAGAACAATTTCATCATCATCATCATCAGCCTATTAATGTCCCCACTGCTGGGGCACTGGCATTCCCTATGGATGAAATAGGGAATTGGGCCATGACCCACCACGCGGGCCCAATGCGGATTGATGGGTAATAACGACTGCAGATGCAGCCGGGACCGACGGCTTAACGTGCCTTCTGAAACACGGAGATACTTGAGATAATAAGTTTGGACCACCCATCCAATACCCTGTGAGGGTATTTGACAAGTTTTAGACAACGATCTCACGTTATTTACTAATGGATATTCAAATAAAAAAAATGGCTGCGTGTACTTATGTAGGTGCGTGAGAAGTTATCCTTCTTTGGCATCGTTTAAAATTAAGTTTTTAATTGCATGCAAATAATTAGTTACAATAAATTAATAAAAAGTCTGGAAAAGGACACAGTCAATAAAGTTCAGTTTTAATTTGAAAAAATAAATAAATAATCAAAATATTTAATTAAAATCGCTACTGAATATAATTTATTAGAACATATGTGATTTGCACTTGTATGAAACTCAAACACGTATTCCGAATATACAAACTAGAAACATGTGGATAAATATTATAAATATGAATACCTATAACTGTTACTTTATTACAAAAAATAAAGATGTGGTTTTTGGTTCTACTACACCAATGGTCAAGAGATGGCGCTGTAGTCTCCTGAATCGCGCTTTGGTTCCGTTGTTCCAGATTAATAAATACTCTTGATAGGCCTTCACAATGCAGTCGTTAGCACCCACTAAATAGAGATTCTATTTCTATTTTCTTGGTAGATTTTCTTAATGTGCGGTAAACACAAAAGTGTTGGTGCTGTTAATTTTTGTGTTACAGTGATGCGCGCGCATCTTAAAATTTCACTCTCATCATTTTTTCATAACGCGCCTAAAGAAGTATAACTTCAAAAATTACATTTTTAAGTTTGCCGTGAAAACGTTTCTCTGGACAATATGGCCACTGCCTAGGTTGTCATCACACGACTGTTATCGTCAGTGACATTACATTCACTGACGGGAAGCTTACTAGTGAGTGACGTCATTATAGACTTCGCCAGTCCTAGGCATTTATGGTCACGTGACCATGGCACCCTAACTGCCAACCTCACCCGCTCGTGGCGCCCCTGCTGCTTAACGGACGAAGCTTAAGGGCTCTTTCAATTTATGCGTTTCTTGATGGCCTGCTGCGGTGCCGAAGCGGTGCGTTTGTCGTACAGCGTACGGACGATCCTTTTTTTTGAAGTTATACTTCTTTAGGCGCGTTATGAAAAAATGATGAGAGTGAAATTTTAAGATGTGCGCGCATCACTGTAACGCAGAATTTTAACAGCATGAAGTTGGACCAACTTCATGCGTTACTTTTGTGTTTACCGCACATTAAGAAAATCTACCAACAAAATAGAAATAGAATCTCTATTTAGTGGGTGCTAACGACTGCATTGTGAAGGCCTATCAAAGGTATTTATTAATCTGGAACAACGGAACCAAAGCGCGATTCAGGAGACTACAGCGCCATCTCTTGACCATTGGTGTAGTAGAACCAAAAACCACATCTTTATTTTTTGTAATAAAGTAACAGTTATAGGTATTCATATTTATAATATTTATCCACATGTTTCTAGTTTGTATATTCGGAATACGTGTTTGAGTTTCATACAAGTGCAAATCACATATGTTCTAATAAATTATATTCAGTAGCGATTTTAATTGAATATTTTGATTATTTATTTATTTTTTCAAATTAAAACTGAACTTTATTGACTGTGTCCTTTTCCAGACTTTTTATTAATTTATTGTAATTAATTATTTGCATGCAATTAAAAATTAATTTTAAACGATGCCAAAGAAGGATAACTTCTCACGCGCCTACATAAGTACACGCACCCATTTTTTTTTCATACAAAACGCGCGGTGCGGCAACAGTGCGGCGCCGGTACCGCGAACGCTCGACAACAGGACTGTTGCCGCACCACGCGTTTTGTATGAAAAAAAATGGATCGTCCGTTCGCTGTACGACAAACGCACCGCAGCAGGCCGTCAAGAAACGCATAAATTGAAAGAGCCCTAAGTCGACTGATACGAGGTATTACAACTGATCTAGATTAAGCCAGACTGGGTAAAACCAACGATCGACGTCGGGCAGCAGCGACACCGGTGCGATCAGTGTGACTGCGAAACAACGATAATAAATAGCCTAGATACATCACGAGCGCTCAAAATGTGTCCCAATCAAGAAGTGCTTGAACTCCACTCCAGCATTTCATGGTTCACAGTCACGCGTGGACCTTTACATAGTCAAGATGCCACAAAACTCCGTGAAAAAATGCGAAAATAATACTTAGAGTACGAAAAGTGTCGTTTTTTCGACAGGTATCTAATCAACGTTTGTTAATTTAACGCATTTGAAGCAAATTTTGTTCTAATACTTACTATAAACTGATTTAATATATAATATTTGTGATATTCAAATGCGTGGTCGGTTATACGTCACCGTATAGCCGTCTCTTTTCCTCGCGGTCAGTACTTGCTATATTGCTAACAGCGCGTTAAGAATTGCGCGTAGAGTCAAAAGAATAAGATCTATATTCTTCCGCATATAGCAATAAGTCGTAAAATTTTACGAGCTCGCATTTCGGACTGTCAGAAGTCTTCGATGCATGTATTTTAATTAGGACCTTATACAGTATGCATTAAGGGTGACTTTCAATGTTTAAATAATCCTTATATCGTTTTAGACCACGCGATCATCTTATGGAGCTCCGTTATCATACAATGTACCTTTAGGACACGTTTCGGCCACGATTTTTCGTGTTGGTGTATCTAGGGTTTTTAATATCGTTGCTGCGAAATGACCAACCCGCGTGGGCATTTCAATAAACCAACGACGGCAGCCCCGCTGACTTCTTTAGCGGTCAGAGTAACGGCAAGGCAAGAGGTGCTAAGAAACTCCGGAAGAGATTCCGCTGCCAACCCTGTCGACTAGGCCTGGCAACCTATTGGTTTGTAAATACAGTGGAGCCCCGGTAATCCGGCCCCTGGCTAATGCGGCACCCCCTATAATCCGACATCGTCTTTTACATACAAGTATTCGCTAATTCACGATTGAACAAGTTACAACTTATACGCACCATCACTATTGTGCTCGACGCGTAGGGTATTGTTTTTTTATATTTTTTTGTAAATTCTATAGCATTAATGACGTTACTTTTATAATAAAACGTAATCTTTCTATTGCGTTGTTTAATTTACTAAATTTGACATACATAACAAAGTATGATTTGTAATCTTATCATTGGATCTGTAATTTGTCGGATTACAAGGTACTCTTTTGTAAAAAAAAACATACTATAGGGGGTCATAAGCAGTACTCTATAATCCGACAAATTCGATAGTTCGACACTGCCCTGCAAAATGTTTGTCGGACTACCGGGGATCTACTGTACATAAATTTCAATGGGCTTGTAGGCAAGCCAACGGGGAATATCTTCTTTCGAGCTTGGTGATGGTAGCTTGGGGGCCGCGGCCCGACTGATGTTGGTCGGGCATTGCATATATTAAATATTTGCCTCAGAATTTCACTTGTATGATGTAGGCTTCCATACTTATTGTTCGCAGCGCCGGTAGCGCCATCTCTTGAAGATGGCGAGTGTTTATTGTGGGGCATGTAGATGTCGCCGCTATAGACTTACCCAAGGAATAGGGGCGCCTTTAGGAATCGCGGCGCCCCAGATATCAGATGTTTGCGAGGCCCCTTTCACCCGACTTCGCCGAAAGGATAATTATGTTTTTCAAGTGCATTTATATTTCTTTGGCACGCTCTGTTATCTAAACGGTTTAATTGCAATAAATAAATAAATAATAAGAAGGAGATAGATGAGGGTGTGAAAGTGAATACTAATAAGGGGAACAGATATATCAGAGAATGAAACATAAGAGTGAAAGAAAAAGTTAAACTTTAAGGTTGGGACAGGAAATAATTCCGAACTTGATCTCTAATCAAATTCAGAGTGCGAGCCTTTCGAATGTTTTCCGGTACCTAATGAGTTCTATAGACGTACAGAATGCTTAGAGAAGGAATAGGAAAAGAAATCGGTTGTATGATGTGGAATTTGAAGGGTAAGGTAAGAAGAAGAGCGCCGTGTGCGTTGTGAAGTAGATGAAAGAAACGAGAAGCATTCTTTTCAGTAATGTGGAGTGAGAAGTAGGTAGGAAAAATATGGAATAAAAAAGCGTAAGGGTATGTAAGTCCCTGCGCCGGTGAATAGGGAGCCAATTAAGTTTAAAACGGAAGTGTACTTACGGAGGTACAAAATAAATGTAATACATAAATTCTGCAGACGTTCCAGTTTATTTAGGAGTTCCTCGGAAAGTTCGGTGTAACAGGCTCAGCATAGTCAAGGATAGACAGTAAAAAGTTGCGTAAGCGGTTAAGTGAGCCGTATGCAGCAACATTTTCTTCCTGAGGCTTCCAAGAGAAACACTGATCAAAGACCACCCCAAGGTTTTTGGCCTCCTTGAAATGAAGCAAGAACTGCCAATTATAATAGCGTGTGTCTTTGTGGGGTTCAAAGTAAAGCCGAATGACTAGTTAGTAATCTCTGTTGCATCTGTGAATTTTATAATATTATTATGAAGAAAGTCATTTTGTATAATAAAAGACTTTGAACAAAAAATATAGTCTACACTACATATCTACACCGAAGCGAAGTAAGGGCGGGCGACTAGTTGACAATAAGCCTAATTAGAAGGCCCAGCGTCGCACAGTGAGCGAAGGAGAGAGCTATGCTCAGTGCTTCTCTACGTGGTCTAATCAAGAATTAGTTTTTAATTTTGTTTAAAAACATC